ACTTACCTGGGTAGGGCTGATGTTATCCTCCTTATGCGTGACTGAAAACCCTAAGGGGTCTAGCATGGAACCGATCCCAGTGGTATGTGTGCTGTCACTTATTGGCTAAAGGTCATCGTCATTGTGTACTGAACCTGTGCTAGATGAGGTTCTCAGGGGATGTTGGGCCCCAATCCGACTTGCTTCTTGGATATGACTGTTGCACCGCTTGTTTTCTATCGGAGAAAGTCCCTTTTACAGCCAATCCAAAACTCCTCTTTTCTTTCCCGCATCAAAGCACTCTCATAGTTGGCTGGTAGTTAAACGGTCTTTGCTACTGATGACGATCTCGGTCTCTAAGGCTCTGCTGTACATGTGTGGATGTTGAGTCTGCATAATGGATAAACGGATAAAGGTTCCTGTTTTCGTGGCTTTCCATTGGGCTTGTCACCAATTTTTGACAAAGACGCCCATTATGGTATATATTTCTACGTATGGTGGAGCAATTCGCGTGTAACAGGCTGAAGAAAATGCGCCTGTAGTATGTGGGATTGCTGCGCTCCTCTGCAGCACACCCGCGACTGATAGCACACATTGGCAACAGTACCATTATCCCTTTTGCTCCATATGCGGTCCTTATCGAATCAACGATGGTTACAATTACTCCGGAAAGAATGAATTCCCACTCATGCAAGAACAAAAACATCACATTCTATCCCCCTACTCCCCTTTTTTATGGTTGTGCCGTTTGTTTGGAACGTATCAACTTTACCGCAAGATGACGATTTGTATCCTCGATTACCATTGGTGATTGGACAGTGTTCGCGGTGATATGCACTACATACCTTGTCGGCCCATGAGTTGGTAAGAACAGTCATGACCGATAAGCTCGATCGCTCAGTGTTCAGCGGGGACATTGGGGCGAAAAATTAGTATTCAGAGGCCAACAAACAGCCCAGTAACGGAACCACCTGTGTTCCTTGATCGAGGCGTAGTCTTCCAAATCTCAACTTGCGCGTGCACGCTCTTCAGTCTATACTGTCCATCTGTGGTCGAAATAGTAGCGCATGGAACTGAACTTTGACGCAGTCTGCAGCTAACTTAGTAGAAATAGGACGCAGTACGAATACTTGAATAAGATTTTATACATGTGCCGCGTTTAACCCAGCCTGGCCACCGGTGAAGATCACCTACCAATGAACAGAACCGACACAGGTTAACATTTCCAGCGAATTGCACTCAACACATGGCCAAACCACCTCTGTTGGTGTGTCTGCACCCCAGACGCCTGACCTGTGTTTTAACCTTTTTGACCTACTGTTCTACGGATTCACTTATGGATATGCTCCTCAGTCTGGTAATCAGATATTGAGGATTCCTCCACTCAGATATCAGTTCTAAATCAATCTCTCGGAATGTTATAGTTAATTAGACGTGAAGTTTGTTGATAGACGGTTGATTGTACAATACCACAGTGCGTCCGTCTATGCTTCGTGGTCGTGAAACTCGGCTGCTGTGTGGATGTGATTTTTCGCGTTTAACCGTCAGTGCCTTTATAATATTACACGTGTGTTCTGGGGACGCAGATTGGGGGTGGGACAAGTGGTGTAGATAATGAATAGAGTAATCATCATCATCATCAAAGACAGCAACATCAGAGATGACACTCATGCTTCAACCCCGCACAACCATAAGGTTCGTCTAAATTATATTTAAAGCCCTAGAGTGAAAAGAGAAGAGTGGGTGAGGGAGGGGGCCTATGTCAAGCATTCGGAGGTGCATAGACCTCCGAGCACTCAACCAGCATGAACGCCACTGACATCGATCAGCCGCCATTTCTTGCAACGTCTCCAGCCAAGGAAAGGTGATATCACGGGTACCCCATCCTGGAAGGTGTACAACACCAACAACACCCAAACGCTTCGTGATCTCTTTTACGCCCTTCTGCCAAGTCGTGTGTTGTTCACCTCGCGGTAAGCGCCATTCTGAAGGAGGCACAGAAAACAACACTCGTCTCGGCATGCCTAGTACCTGGCCCAGCCATTGTGGTCGGTGGTGCTGGATGCTTTCCTCGACTGAATTACCTGCCGCACAACCAAACACCAGTTTTCTAATCACCCCGTCACTAACACGCTGACGCCATCCAAAACCAACCACGCTTCTGAGGTACCAGTGGTGAAAATATCTGAAGACGCCTCACATCATCTGTCGACAGAGGCCACATCACACACCCATACAAGAACAAAGCCCTTACTGTAGTCTGGTACACGAGACCCTTGAGATTTATTGATATGCCTTTTTGAGGCTACAAGTCGCACAAATTAGCAAACGGGATTCGAGCCTTTGAGATTCTCGCACTGACTTCATCAGGCACATTTCCATCAGGGCCAATATAATTACTGAGGTACGCAAAATTTCCCACAATCTCCAGTGATTATCCTTGAATTTCAATGAACATGTTCAGAGACTGTAAGTTCTGAAGCATGACTTTGTACTTTGAAGACGCATGCCAAAAGACTGTCAGTCTATTCAACGGGGCTTTTGCTTCGCTTTGATTTTCAAAGATGAGGGCAATGCCATCTGGTCAATACAGCCTCTACTCGGTCGAAATCCCGCTAGATTCTCACGAGTCAAGGTTTCGCGTGCCACCGAGAGATGACGAAGAACCAGTGACACCAGGAGCCTTGTCACAACAGGAGTCAAACTAACACCTCTGTGGTTACTACATTCATTGCGAGTACCCTTTTTGAAAATGGGTGCTACTATCGATTCGCCCCAGTTGTCTGGGATAGTCTATTTCTCCCAGATAGACCCAAATAGGCTAGACAGACACTGGCCGAGAAGTCCACCACAATCATTGAAAACAACAGATGGAAGGACCTGCAGCATGATGACTCTTGAGAAGGGAAATACACTCAGGCACTTCTGAGTCCACATTTTTGTTGAAGGCCAGGATTCTGGATTGGAGGTAGCAGCTGCCCTAAGTACTGTGACCAGCAATCCAAGCGTTCTGCTTTGCTGCGTATCAGGGAGCCATTTTGACCTGATTGTTTCGCTGACAGGTTTCCGAGTACCAGTTGAAGGGACCAAGTAGAACAGCTTGCGGACGTTTCCAGCATTCTTTGCGTCTTCCACCTCTTCGGCCTTTCGGGTCCACCAAACTTCTCGGTCGTCACGGATACTCAGTTTCACCTGGCGTCGGATGATGAGTCGCGTGAAATTGTGATTACGACCAGGACGGATCTATCGCCGGATCTCCAGCAAAGACAAGGTCCTATCAGAGATCCAATGTTTGGATGCGGTTTACTGGCTTGTACCGCAAACAGACGTTCCGATTTGAGTAGCGCTTTAGATATCTTTTCGCAGTGGTCGTTTATGTCTGATAGAGGACCGTGCGGTAGGCGTCTGAGAAGCTGATTCTGATAGTTTCGTTTGGTTTTTGGGTCCACTAGCTTCTCAATGGCTAAACAAGGTGTGCGTGTTTTGCGTACAGTAGCATGTTTTCGCCTACCCGCCCTGCTGTAGGCAGCAAGTGCGGCGACCCAGCTGATGTGGCATGAGAGTATTGTTAGCTGTAAATGTCATGGTTGTACGAGGGCTGAGATACTGGCAGGGTGCCAACACCTAGGCAGGAGGACAATTAAGGTCCTCAACCAAAGCCTTTGGCTCAAAAGCCTAGCGGCGGCTGTTTTGAGCCGGAAATACAAGTGCATTACCACTTTTACGAAACACGTCGCCACACATGTTCCAACCCCCAACCTGAAGAGCCATGAGACTGTGTTCAGCAAACCTCTACCCATCGGCCAACTCTGTGAGTATTGCGCGGACATCTCCCAGTATTGCTCACTGGGTCGCCGAGATGCACAACCCGCTACACTACGGCAAGGTCAAGTCTCTTCGTTTGACGATAACACCGAAGCAATAAAGTTGAATCGGCTACGTCCTTCGTAAGTTGGGTGATCGATTAATTGATTATACCATTCGATGGAAACTGTCCTAACTGGGAAACGCAGGGTGGAGAAGGCGTGATCTGGAGGCAAAGTACGAGAATAATAGTAATTAGTCTTTCGTACCGTCTGCGAGGTCTGGGTACCAGAGACAAATCTTGTGAACACCGGAAAAATCACATACGTCAAAGTCTGACAGCCAGCGATACTGTTGTATGCACCCCTTCATTATTAACCTTCCGTCTACTATTTGTCCTTTTAATCTTACTTAATGGACCTCAGTTGACGCCCTAAATCATCTCACACGCAAATTTTGAACGCTTCAGTAACCCGAACCAATGCGTGGTTACACATGGCTGATGGTTACAAAGCCGAACATATGGCCAATCGTCTTACGGTTGTTTAACAACCGTACATCCCAAGGGACGAGATGGCGCAAGTGGTTAGAGCGCGAATTTACTGACCTGAAGTTTCGTGGTTCGAACCCGGCATGACACTCGACTTTCCCTGTGTAGGCCTGGGCAACCTGGCAGTATCCCAGCCCCCGTGCTTTCTTTAGGTGTCATGGCAGCTAGGCACCGGCAGGGTGCTACAACAGAACGAACACACCAGTACAACCAAAAAAACTGGTTAGCTGGGGCCAGGGTTTATCCAACGCGCGCTCGCTTGACGTTTGCTGACCCGCATGTCTTGGCATTATATCAGTCTTTCTGTACCATATTTACCGGATCAGGCCGATGAATCCTTGCAGTACTGCACGAAACCGAAATGTCAGTCTTCGCAATCATCAAGTCGTTCAACTCCGACGTCTCTTCGGCGCAGTTTTCATGCCCTCAGAAGGAAGTATGGCGGTTTGGATACAAGGACGCCGCCCAAGTCTACATAGAAGTGGATTCGAACCAAGCACCTCTTGATACCCCGGAACTTAAATCCTGAATTACACCGACAAACATGACTAACCAATGTCGACAAAGACTGATTTACTCAGGCTTTCCATTTGAGCGACGTGCTTCACTTGGATGCCTGGAAACTTCCAAACCAAACATCTGGCACAAGAAAACAGTCTGTTAAAACCGGATGGCAAGTATCTATGGTAAAAATAATTTGTATCACACAATTCAGGAGCACGAGCAAAACAGGTACAGAAGAGATATGTCCGGACTATACGGGAACGGGATCCCGTAGGGCAAAAAAGAACCATCAAAGCAAAAAAGTAGAGAATAAGACTGTTTACAACAGTAATAACCATAGACAGTGAAAGAATTATGGCACAGACAACAAAGATATCAGTTCAACTCAACAGATCATCAATATCAACCTTGGAGAGCGGTTTGTACTGTTCAGTGAGAGATGGAGCAGATGCGAGATTGGGTGTAAAGGGAGCAGCTTCCGTGAGACTGTGGTTTGTGGGCTGTTGGAATGAGGCGTAAGATCCCGCGGTGGTGTTGCGTGGTGGGTCCCATCTTGCTTGCGTGCAAGGGAATCTGGTTGTCGGAGGATTTATGGTAGCTGATAGATTTAAACCAGCGCCAACACTGTAGTGTGGCATAGATATATAATCGTTGTAAGGAGTCGCAGGCGGGCGAACAAGCGCCAACGGCAGACCGGGTTGGAATGTACGTGAAGAGGGAATCGAATTCGCGCGATTGGCCATTTCAAAAAGATTAGATTCAATGAGAGTGCTTGTCAAATCACGTGGGGTTGGTTTGGTCGAAGTGGGGTCTTTTTTGGTTGGTTGGATAGCATCTAAACCTTGTCCCTGTAGTCGCTGCTGTTGGGAGCGTTCGGCGGCAAGCTGACGCTTCTGTTCCAAAGAGAGGGTCACTGTTGGTTTGATTTCGAGATCACTCATATGTTCGGATACGGAGTTGGGCGGAGCCGAAGGCTTCTTATCCTCAGAGGTTTGGTCGATCAGTCCGGAAGTCGAGTCTACAAACGTACGCATTATTTGATCCATCTGCAAGAAGTAAAAATAAAGGTGGAGGACTCGGGTGATGGGGCGCCACTTTGTGATAACAAAGGTTGCGCACATGAATTAGTATGGCTAGAACAAGTCGAAAAGGAAGGTCGAAGATGCCTTGAGTTTATCAAACGGGTGATTTTGTCTTGGGAGCACTTATATGATAAATAGGTTGTGGTCGATGATTGATGACAAAATATTCATGAATTTACTCGCCTCGTCCCTGAATATGATGGAGTGAAACTTCATGAGAACTTGAGAAGTCAAATGAGCGATGATTATACCGAGACGGTTATGTAGTCAGTCAACAGCCACATAGGGTACATATATCGAGGCTGAAAGAGTACAGGAAAACAACTATTATTGATCGAATAAACTAAGGATGAGCATTCAATACTATACGACCATGGTAAACGTGGGTGTATTTGAGCTGTCATTTCAGACGGATAGCAAACGTCAGCTGACAGATACGCAGCAACGCAAGATGTGATGTGTGAATTTGGACGTTGTCGGCCTCTAATCGTCTAGCAAGTCATCAAGTCAGTACTAACTTTATGTGGCGATCTTCGGTAGTTTTAATGCGGTCACGATTGGACACGTAGGCCAATAAGACAGTTTCAGCGATGAAATAAAGATTTCGTGCAGTTAGACGGCCAAATTAATCTCACCTGGAGAGTAATCCACAAAGAAATATGGGCAAAACTGATAGCCACGACCGAAGCGTAGAATAGACTCAAAATAACACTGGAGATTACAACACAAACTGTGGGAAACATCTAGAGTATCTTAACAATGCACTCTGACGAAGGAATAAAAATGGCCTAGAAATCTAGCGGAATAGCGCGAGAGTATGAAGTTTCATTTCAGTAGAGTATAGGATTGCTCCGTGGGATCAGATAGTGAAGTGCAAGAAAAAAAACTCCAACAATGCTGACAGTAGAAATTATACTGCACATAATCCTAGGGCTGATGCCATTTTCGGGGAAAGCCGAGACCGGCTTATAAGGATAAAAAAAGACATGGTCGACCAAAGAAAGCCACATAAACAGTGCCGTTCTTAAAAAAGCACAACTAGAGTATAGGAGGGGTAGGCAATTTGGTTCTGGCCACAATCTAACAAATTGTCTTCTGACCAGTCGCAAACTAGTTTCACCTCTTTGAATTTGGTATGGTATGACGAATGTTTAAGCGGACTGAGAACACATAATACTGATTTGGTAAGAGTACATGGCCTCTTCCCGTAATAATATTAAGCAAAGGTGGTTATAACCTTGCCACAAAAACTAGTTTCAGATTGCGGTAGCCAGGAGAGATGTTTTCCAAAGTTGTATGACGTTATGTGGTTGACATCAGTCCATTCACGTACCACTTATCTGTATCATTAGTCTGCACAAAAATGGATACAGACTCGGTACCAGTCCCTGACTTACAGGTCTAACCAACGAGGTAACGGCTAGTAGGGTTATCTTGGGAGATCCAATCACAAGTTACTGACACAGAAACCAAACCCATTTGGCCGTGGGAATACTGAACTGCATGAGAAATCCGCTCAGCACTTGAGAAGATGCCCTCATTTTTCAAGTAGACCAAATAGGTTCCCGGCGATCACGGCCAACCGCTAGACGATCGAGGTGCGCGGATCTGTGAGCAACATCATAGGCTCATTAAATGAACAAACCAATAGGAAAGTGCTGGTCAACTGTAAAGGAACTTACTGTCAAAAGATTCCTATCTCGGAGAGTATCCGGTTTAAATCCGATTCACCTAGCATTGATACTTCTCACAAAACAAGGGTTAGTTGTCTGTTATCTGATAGTTAGTAGTCGGTTATCCTAGCCTGCTGAAACAACTGAACGGGAATTCAGGCTGATGTACAGCTCAAGTCGTTTTGACGAACACTCCAGATCAGTCCTCAACATACCTACTGTTTATCTCGACTAAGAAATAGTCTGGTAATCCAAGAATAGAAACAATTAAACTGTGTGGTAATCGGGAACTTGATAAAGCTTAGGATGTTCGATGCCACTTCTGCCCAATCGGAGTCATGGCTGTCGGGATTACGTGTATCATCAGAAGACTGCAATAAAACGTCAGGTAGCTAGGTGCTGTCACATGAACCGGTCTAAAAAGTAATAAAATGTAAGTATGGTTTCTACTGATAATAAGTTTCAAACTGCGCCACACAATCAGTTAGATGGCGACTCCCTAACGGGCAGGATTACGGCTTTCTGGGAGGCTAGAATTGGCTTTGAGTGAGCAGTAAGGATTCAGCGAATTCCACTCTTCGGCTGATTGCATTAACAATGAGCTGGAATGCTTAGTGAACACCAGGTTGGTGTATGATGGTGATTAAGTGCTGTGCGAGGGCTGATTTTCCAATCAGGAGAGACCGAATCACTGCCCGTAAGACGGAGCAGTGTGAAAATTCGTTCCAACGAATGTTTTGGCTTGCATATCAAATCTTCCATCTGTTCTACGAATACAGATTGCCTACGTCACAGGAAACGGAAACTGCACTGCATAAAATACATTTGTTCTACGTAAGTGGGGTCCTTGTGCGTTAACCTACTGAACGGTCCAACCATTTGGTCTGGTTGACTTATGATGGTTACTGTGCGGAGGTTTACTGCTCGGTTGTTTGGGCCACTCAGGATGACCTTCCCCAGGAATGGAATAAACTGAAACATGAAAAACAAACATGGCAGTCTGAAAGCCACCGTTACAATGGCGTCATTTGATTGGTCAGGGGCGATACGCTCACGTTTGTGCTTGGAGACTGAAGTTGACGTACACATCGCACGTCAAGCCGGTCAGATTGTTGGTAGGTTATTCCAGCAAAGTCCAACCAAACTAAGTGTTCCGTGTAACGCTCGATCTGGTGGCCTTCAGTGCGGATACTTCCAAACATCCGAGATTACATATGACTAGGATGCAATAATCGAAACCGCGCATACGTCGCCACCGGAAAAGCCAGTGCCTATCGATTGTCTGGGTCATTGGTCCTCGAAAACACGATACAGGTGGCCAAAACCACGTACAGCAAACGGCCTTAATAATGGACCGGGAGGATCTCGTTCTAACGCACCTAGATTGTCCCACCATTCTGTTTTGAGCACGATCCGTGAAATTCACTGGAAGCACTGGCAGACTAGCATACTTTAGAGCACCTACACGCTTTTATTCAAATCAGCCGTAATAGGAACTAGGGTTATTGGACAATGCCGAGTGTGCAATTCCTACGAAGAACACATACGGACGAGCTTGGAGCTGCGTAGAGCAAAGCATTCGGTAAAGGGTCGGGCACACATCCATAAATGCTTGAAATGAATGTTGCGATCGAGGGCGTGGTTAAACTGCTTGTTTTACTCTACCTTGTATGCTGTACCGTGTAAATATTGACCCAGAGTAAAGTGGTTATGGAATTCCGCGTACGTCAATAAACATATATCTACGTCGTGTCTGCGTGGCAGCTCCGTGGTTATAATCAAAGTCCGCGTAATTACTCACTGTAGACACAGAACAGCGGAGTTTCGAGTCACGTGCAAGCCTATAATCTTGAAAATCCAAGTCTTAATGGACCTGGTTTATTTCAAACGTTCGTGATTCACCACCAGGTGACAAGGAAACCAACGTCTTTGAGAACTGTTAAGAAATACTTTCATCATGGAAAATCCATTATTTCCGACCAAGGTGTGAAGAGAAATATGGCACAAGCAACTGGTGATTGCTAGAGTTCAACCCATAAATGGTAAGACAGCGGAACAAGTGAATGTCAGCAAATCACACAAGAAAAGCGGGACATTCGCAAGTTCGTTCTACAAATTAAAACTCAGGCCTCTCGTAATTTTCAGGACCAAGACCCAATTCACCTTCCGGATCGTTTGACTACAGGAATCAATTGCTCACCGCCTCAATATAAGTGATCACCTGGAAGTTGGACATTGACAGGCGGTCTTAGATCAGCCCAGTTGACACGTGACGACGTGCGGTTATCAGTGAGATGGAATGCGTCTAAAGTACAAAGCCGAAGCAGAGTAAAATCCGCTTGATGACCTCAACTCCAATCCAATCGTCCCGGTATTTATACACACCAACAAAAGTTTTGAACGAAGCCCGGGAGGAATGCTCCACTACAGTGCCCCAAACCGCAAGAGCAAGGTTACCAAATTCTACTTTACTTCATAATATACCCTTCCATAAGCCACTACTCGGGTTAGCAAACTACACCAATCAAGAAGAACTGACTAACATTAAGCACTGACAGGATCGACTAGGTGAAAGAAATCCTACGGATTGGTTTTTCGCCTGCCTTACAGCAAGATAAACTTGGGAACTTATCCACCTAGTCTGACGAAGCTGTGTCAAGTGCGAAACGTTGCCCATAAGTACATTGTCCTCTGTGCTGTTCCATTGCTTATCGAACCCCTCTGAAAGAAGTGACCACTATTGAACGATGCTTCTGTGAAAAACATCCTTGGAGTTTGCGTACAACATTGAGATATTCACAGATTTGTCCAGTGTTGTGCGTTGTATGCCTGTCTCAGTGACTTTACTAGGCCATTCCATGTCATCCATGTCATCCTGTCAACAATGGCACATAAACACACCAATACAGATTCAAGTTTTGAGACCCACACCTATTAAGGTTAACTGCACTTCTCGTGAGTCTTCATCACATTAATTCTGACAAAAAGCGATGTTTCGGGTCTGCTTTAACATCCTTGAGACGTGCGAGACGGAGCGCGAGTTTACTGACCGAAAGGTCGGTCCTTCAAATCCGACCTCCACCTGTCGACTTCCCCTGTCTAGGCTTGGGCAACCTGGCAGTATCCCAGCTCTCGTGCTACCTTCGGGTAGCATGGCAGCTAGACACCGGAAGGGTGCTACAGCTGAACGCCCGAAAGCTTTGAGACGTCGCTTTTCAGGGTTTCATTCTAGAGGAGAATTACTGTCACACTCGCGGGTCCATTACGTCTAGATGACTAAGCCTAATGCCTAAGCCTACTGTTCTTGGCAATTCATTCTCGTGTCTTGTTGGAAATGAAGAAAGCGAAGTAGTTTGCCTTTCCCTTGCGGGTTGTATTATATAGTATATTGAACAGTGCAAACAAAGCATATTCCATTTTCCAAGTGAACTCAGCCCATTTATTGCGAGATGTAAAAGGAAATCAGGCTTTGGCGCTTACGGATTTTTATTCGGCGTCGACAGCTGAGCTACTACTGTTAAAAACATTCATTTGAGGAGTGCCGCAGGTAATAGTTACTGATGACAAAACCCATGTCACTGATTGGTTGGCGGCTGTCAGCCACTAAGGCGTCCGCAATCAAACGGTTTAGCGAATTCTGAGAGGTGCAGTACAATAAATATACCATGGAGTGGACAACTTTTTAGTACATTACCCGTACTCATGCTAGTACGGGTAAAAGTCGTGTCAATTCCAGGATCTGGAGAGCAAACATTCGGTGTCTAAACTCGGCTGATGTAGGGCACGAACGAGGGAGTGACCTACTACTCCAAACGGGTATAGCACCGTATCAGCGAAGAAGTCGAATGCCCAAAAATCTTGACACAAGTGACTGTTCTGTGTATTGTAGACATGCTAATCGGATTTGATAGTGGGACTGGCGTTACCACTGGCCATAATACCCCATATAACTTAATTGATACCGACGTTCTTCTGCGTGTTCCTGACTTTCATGTTGGGCCGCCGCTTCCAACGCGTGGCTCGCGGTCCCCTATTCCGCTTAGCCTCGGTGAACGAAGCCGTACCAGCATTGCATTTCGGTGAACGGTTTGTGAGTTGAAAAAAAATGAACTGAATACAATCAGAGCCAATCCTTAACCACACAGTATAAAACCTACGTCAGTTGAACTGTCCTTGTAACTAAACTGCTTACATTTGTACGATTATTGATCTTAAGCATAGTGAGTACAGAGCTGTGCTTGCGACAATATAAATACGCTTGCATGTATCAATACCAACTTCTATATAACGGCGCACTGATTAGCAGGAAATTCCGTTGTAATTCGTTTATATATAACGCGAGATATTATTATCATCGTTGACCCCGATACGTCAGTCACAAATACTGGGGCTTGATTGCCACACAACCATGAGTAGCAAAGTGACAGCAGGGTAGGGACACAGTGCGAAGAATTTCTACGACCTCCTGGAAAACAAGTAAGAATAAGATGCCAAGATCTTTGGACATCTGGATTGACCCAGCATTCTTGGCGAACTTCACCCGACAAAAGCCCAGCACAACACGACAGGCGAAGTTTAGCTAGGCAATTTGGCGTGCGCGCCACTAGAATCGGCCATGTGTGATGTCTTGAAGGAATTCCGACCACGTGCAAACAAAAACACGCGGGCCCAATCCACGAAGGCACAGGATCTCACGGCACTCACGTTGATTGTAGGTGATTTTATTTCAAAGTGCCATGTCATGGCAACGCGGACCTTCCACAAAACACTTTCTTGGGTAGACTGGGTACGCGTAGTGCATGTCTCACCCCTAACCTACCACTCGATTCAGTCTGGTTCGTTACCAAGTGTCTGCTTACATATCATCTTGTTGCGTAGTGGCCAACTCTTGCTACGCTACTAAGATAACGATTCATGGGATTGAAGAGACCAAGTCTCAACCACAGAGTAAGACCGTTTTTACAGTTGCTTTGTATACACAGATCTTCGACTTCGGCGAAATTTGTTTCTGACGCCATAAACGACACAAGTTGACGCCACACGTATACTTTGTGCGGAAAAATAATAACCAAAAAAGAGATAGTTCGCCTAATCTAAGCCAATTAATTTTTTTCGGGCATAGTTTTGATATATAGATTCAGGGTCCCTTAGAGTGTGCACTCCATGATAATTTCGGGGACAAAATTGAACAAATACGGAGGGATGGATGACCCTGACGAATCTTACTCTTTGTGAGGAGGCTTTGGACAGTTCAATGTACGCCATCACTTGATCGGAGATGTGAGAATACGGAGCAGGAAGAATGTTGATAAAATTCAGCAGCATACCCGTCTGGCTAAGAATACATAAAAGGGCTGATCTATCCAGAAAGTTGAAGGGAAATTGCGATTGCTGCTAAAAGCACAATGCTCTCCGACTTGCCAAATTTAGACGTCGCAACGTCAGGGAAGCAAGTATATGTTTTACACCATGTGGGATTTCCAGCCCCATGGTTGGAGAAGTCGGTTCGGGTACCTTCTTTGAACACAGGTATTACGAACGAGTGGTTCTCATTCCCAGGAACAAGCTCTTGTTCCAGACCTAATCAAAACAAAGATTATCCTCCAGCTCTAAACAATGCTAGAGGAGGCTCATCTGGTACAGCAGCCGATGGCGCTCACAGGCAAAAAGACATATCAGTACTTCAGGCGCTGACGGGTAGTATAATATTAGAGATCACGGCTCAAAATGTGCGGGTCAAATGAGTGACATAGTTAGAGGGTAGGAAATCAATTAGAACTTGTGAGAAAATATTCCACTAAGTAACACAGATGCTGGTCTTTATTATACACTAGGTTTCCAATATTATCTTCGAGTAACTCACTCACGGAAGGCCTCAATTTTAGGCCCTGTTATGCGGACTAGTTGGAAGAGCTCCCATGCATTTCAAAGCCCACTGCCCCGACTTCTTAGACGTCTTAAATCTGCTCACACGCAGGCGACGTTTGAGTTGTCATCTAATCGACCGTCTAACGAACCGTACTTTGAGCCGGAGAGGATAGACCACCTTCTATCAGGGAGTGATAGTGACCGTTCTGAGATCCAGTGGGTTCAGGCGTCGCATATACCTATGGTTTTCATCCAAGTTACGGTCAAGGTCCTCTGAGGAGACCGTTTATAATGCCTTGCATAGTAAGCTTCGGTGTATTTTCCTAACTCGTGCCTCATAAAGCTCCTCTACTACTGAATGGGAAGATCGTTCTTTGGGCTTTCTGAAAAAAATCACTGAAAATCTGCGTTATCTGAATCTGCCACGTCTAAACCCAGTGCTGCTGAGAAACAACTGAGCTGAATCTCGCCGTTCGTAGCTGATGCCGATTCGGTCGGTCTGACTCCAAGGCTGTCCAGCCGCTGAGGGACACAAGGTGGCACATGCCTACCACGTCTAAACCCAGTGCTGCTGAGAAACAACTACAAACAGCGTTCATAATCATTATCGTGTTTGGCGACCAGACTAAACTTACCCACCAAGGCATACCCTGACCAATCAAAGTATCCTGCCTGCGCATTGAAATTTCCTAACAGTGACTACATCTGAACTTTCCGTGGACGACAGGGTGGTCAGTTACCGTTAGGTGTCCTCCACTGAATCAGGACTACAATTAGCTCGTGTATAAGTGGATATGACAAACAGTGTTTAGTATTTCGGCCAGTGCAAGTTTTTAAGGAAGTGGATGGTCGGGCAGCACAGAGTCAGCTGTTTACGGGTAACCAATTGAGCAATAAAACTGCAGCTCATGAACTAGAGACAATGTCAGCACAGGCACCACTGCAACAGCCCCAGAATCACCCGACGATTGTACTGAACAGTGTCTGGATAGGGAGGGCGAGTGCAACAACCGTACATGGATTTTAAACCCAAATTTCAGAGACGCATCCAGATATCCATCGACAAACTATCAAGGATACGCGGGAGAGAAACTCGCTCACCCATCTATCTGAGGGTTGGCATGTTAATGGTCTTAATAAGAACAGGACAGTAAGGCCTGAATAACGGACGGGGAGCGGTGGTGTGTAACGCGTCAATTACTTGGGTGCCCGACTGACTTGCCTACAGTTGGTATCTACCGAAGGGTGGTTAACAGGCGGAACAAGAGCGGAGTGTCAGGATGCGTCAAGACACGAAAAGTACATGCGCAGAGAACTACGCGCTAGCAAGGTCATCATCGATACCACACGTTCAGGATAGCAGGTGCGTTGGTAGACCTTACCAAACACGACTTAACAGCATACAACCAACGGAGTGAGTGTGAAACTGCTCACAACAGGAACGCCGCCATTGGTTGGAGAGAACGAACAAGCGAATGACCATAAATGGCGGTTTAGCCATCCTACATTTTTACGCAGAAGCTCTGTATGTTTGTCCTGACAACACGATCGTGTCGTTGGTTCTCTATCTTCTCCTTGTCGTGTGGTATGGCAGACTCAGTTACGGGGAAAACAATAGACGGTCATCCATGATACAACAAGCAGCTGAGAGATAACAAAGAACAATGGGAGGCTTATCCGCCCTGCTGTTTACAGCAGATGGTCCGATCCGGCTAATGTTAGCAGCTGATGTGGGATGAAGGCATATTTATTTGCAAAGATCATGGTTGCATATGGACTGAGATTTCGCGAGGGTTCCAACTCCTTGACAGGAAGACAACTAGGATCTTCGATGAAAACCTTTGGCTCAAAACACTGACTGCAAGGCATCGGCGGTCGACATAAGAATAAGGAATAAGGTGCCACCTAGGTCTCAACCTCCAACCTGGTGGGCCGGTAGACTGCGTCGGACCTGTACCCACTGACTAATCTAGGAGGAGTAACTTTGGATGATGAGTTGGCATCGCTCAGTTCAAATCAATGGGCCGCTGAGGTACGCTGCACCGCGATGAGGTTTAGTTTCTTCCCGATGCGGGACGTTACACGCGGACTGAGGTGTGATGCACCCAACGGCTCAATGAGTACCGAAATGCTGTTTTGACTTACTAGAGTTGCACACGAATTTGCAGAAGTCCATCCGTTTGACATGCTTGTTCCAACTCCAAGGATGCTGAATATGAACGAAAGAAGGAACAGGTTAACGCCCGAGTCGTCATTTGTAACGGAAATTTTAAACGTCCAACCGTCCAGAAGGGATGGCGCTGAAACAGCATGAGTCAGCACAGTGGGAGTCGAAATAAATTACGCTGGTAACCTAAGCGAAACTCGACTAATTTTGAACTGAAACCAAGCCAGTAACAGTGAGGAGTTGGACGCAATATGGTACTTGCGCATCACAAACGGACTCAGGCGCGAAGTCGCTTCCACCAGATCGATTAACGTTCTTAACGTGAACGGTTGCCTTATGCTACCATAGAGTCCTCGGAAAAGTTAAATGGGAAGGCCAGACCAAACAAAGTTGGGGAGTTCCGTGGGATGGTCTAGCCACCTTATAGATACATAGTGTCATATCTCAAGGAAACTTCAGTCGTCGATGGGGGTTGCCACTTGGACCCCAATTAATCATACATTTGCCACTTTCAACTTCACAGTCCGTGATAATGTCATCGGCTGCTTACGACTTTCGTTTCCAGTCCGTTTGGGGCCTCACGCGCTGTGTGAGACTAGCTCCCCCACATTTGAAGAACACAAACTAGTCAAGGAGACTGTGCGACTTCAGCGACTTCCACTTATCACTTCACTTTCAATCCGATCACCTAGTTTGGTAGAGACTGGCTGACCAAGACAGCAAACATAGAGAATTAAGGACATGTATGAGTTTTCCTCACAGAGACCAAATCTCCGAACCGTGGAGAAGAGTTGGTCATACATACATCTTTGTAGACAATCTGATGCCCTTTCGAGGCCACAACCGGCAGTGTACGACAAGCGTAAAATGCCTCTTGCCTATCTGGTAGACCACGGAATGAAAATAGGACGATGCCAAACTCCCCAAGAACGTGAACTTATCTAAGGTCTCGAGCAATTTTCCTGGTAAGTGAAGAATGGGCGTATCCTCTGTCTAGTCTTGTAAGTGGTTTGTCAGAATTCTGTTTGTTGTGCTCTGTGTGTGTGTGTGTGTGTGTTGATTCGGGTCGACGAGAACACTAAGAACCTGTCTTGCTAATGGAAAATTGCTCCCACACGATGCTGGGGGTGTACCGTTTTGAAATAAGAGACCGTTTTCGATGGAAGGGACTCTTTAACAATAGGCTGAGGCCCCCTATCTTTACTTAAGTCTAATCCTTACGACTGCATACCATAGATGGAAAAGAATGATCATAGGAGTCCAAAATGAAAAAAGGAAAAGGTCGTTGAAGAAATGGGAATTCGAAATGCAGTATGGAGAAGAAGAGTGCAGCGATATAATATTGGAATATGTCTAATACATCTTTTCAGCCAATAGTTCCTCAGTGCGTGGCTGTAGGTGCTTAAACGAAAGATTGTGAAAACAGTCTAGGGACGCACCATGTAAGACTGGGGGTATCTCCTCAGGCAACAGCATGATCTGCTAAGAATTGAGAGGCACAACACATTCACATCTAATGTTGCCAAGTGGAATACTTTGAAACCAACCCGAGGTGGGCAGCCAGCATTCTCCAACTACTGGAGGTGACCTTGCTGGAAACCTGCCAACAGATTCCCACCGGTCACAATCGAAATCCAACTCGATACATCATCTGACGCCAAGTAAAACTGAACATTCGGACAGACTGACAAACGTAGTTGGTCCAGAAGACCGAATGAATGGAACGAGAGAAAGATACCGGAACAAACCGACTCGATTCATACCAGAAGTATCCGGAAACTTTTTCACAGCGTCTGTCTTGGAAAGAGACTGTGCTAAAAAAACCGAGATGAGCCAGTGATAGTGCTCACCTTCAAAATCGGTGCTGGTAAAAGGAAGAAGGTCTTCGCTGCAGAGTTATTTATTAGAAAATGCCAACTGACCAGCTACGGACTATTGGACAGGGCAGCAAAACTCTCATGAGCATCTTGTTTACAAAAACTGAATATCCACCTTCTCCTTGAACGCGTCTCCCTGAACTGTTCTGGATATTCATTGACCGTTGCTCAAATCCAGGCGAATGTTACAAAGCGACTTCACAAATTCCGCAATAGATGTCTCTTTTCAAGGGACGTAAAGCGAATTTACAAGAAGACATACTACTCGCATGCCTCCCCCATCAGTCGTACCACCGTTACACTGGTGGTGAATATAGCAACCACATAGGTGTTAGCTGACTCCGGTTGTAACAAGATTTCTGGCGTTAGTGATTCTTTGTCCTTTCAAAACGGCACGCGAAAAGTTGACCCATGAGCATCGAGTGGGGTTTCTATCGAGTTATGGTCCAGTCAGCCACATCCCCGCAATCAGTCAGGCGCTATTGCAGGAGCAGCGCCATGTGTACGGACTTTCGGGGTGCATTCAGTAGTGTCGATTGTTAGGTGCTCGTAACGTCAACTGCTCTGGATATGTATGAATACAATCAGACGCTCGTATTCCAGCATTGGTGTCAACTCTATCCACTTCCGTTCAACCTTGGTGTCGATGAAATGATGGGGCGAACGCTAAATGGTCCCTAAGTTGTCCCTGTCCATCCGCAATAATTGTTTACCGAGACAAGTGTTGTCCTTCCAGAACAGCGTAAAGTGGAAACGTTTGAAAAAATGGTGGCTGATCGATATCAGTTTCTTACCAGGTTGTCCGACTGAAGTAGGCAGTACAGGATGTTCACACCAGATTCCATCACATCCAGTCTTTTCTCCTTGCACTCCAAGACTTCAAATACAATTAGACAGACCTTGTGGCGGTGCGACAGTTGAACATTGAGCACAATGTGAAGAGGGTTGTATATTGATTCAGTGATACTCAGTATATTATTTGATTTGTCAACGATTTGTATGGTGGACGACTTTTACAGACATTCTGAACACTAACAACTCGTACGTGTACAAACAAAATCGGTGTTGTTCGTACTACCAATTTATGTGCAGATTGCCTGATTGAGTGCTTAAAGATGTGGGCAGTAGGCAAGCACCAGCTCCTTGTGCGTTCATTCTTTTATTTTTTTCTATTATAGAATTAAACAAGGCTTGTACTTGTACGGCAATGAAGCATCAACATGGTGAAGATATCAACCAGAAAAGTACAGTCGTCACGAACATCAATGATGATAGTGATGCCGCCTTCTAGGATGAACCACAGATGGCGACATCGGGACGGAAACATTCACAGCCAGTCAGGTGTGGTAGGAATATGAGTGATGAGACAATAAGTTGAACGAATAGGCGCACAAGAATCCGCGTTACATGAGAGAATGAACCTGTTATGTCCGTCTGAAAGATGACGAGCATTTAGCTAAGCAATTTTAGTTAAATTCCAGCTAGGACAGTTGAGCAAACTATTCAGGCTGAGCAATTTTGATGCAACAACAGAGACCAGAAACACTCAGGAAGCAAAAATGGGGGATGGAAACAAGCATTAAGGAGCCATTTCTGTATTTGATATTCATCTTACTTGGGTTCTTCTGCTATACCATGGAGTTGTTCCAGTTTGGCCTTCTGTTCCCGTTCCAGTTGACTACACATATCGCGGATGAGCTCGGCAAAAGCTAGATACTGTTTCAGATTCAGGCTACCCTCGATTGACAACGGAATCAGATGGGGAAGGACGCGTGTTGCCAACTTTTCTCGACTGATTCCTAGTTTCTCGTGACTGAACGCCAAACGATATATACCTAACAGAAATAAGCGATTCCGAAAAAAATGTTAAGGTTGGTGCGACCTACTACTGGAGAGGCACTTTGGTCATGTTTCACTCGAAATGTATAATGCGGAGCCACTTACTCAATAGCGGTAACATTGCAAGCGAGCAGTGATTATATAAAGCTGGATTAATGAGGAGCGATGGGGGAACGTGAGGTCAACATAGGGTGCGTGAGACTACTGCATCCCACCAGGGTACCTAACACCTTGCGGTATCTGAGCCTTCGTGCTCCTTTGGGGTGGCATGGCAACGAGGACTAATTTCAATTCTGTCGTACGGAGTGCCATGCATTACCCATTCGCTAAGGAAAGAAAGAAAGAAAGCGTCCAGCTGTAGCACCCTTCCGGTGCCTAGCTGCCATGCCACCCGAAGGAAGCACGAGGGCTGGGATACTGCCAGGTTGCCCAAGCCTAGACAGGGGAAGTCGAGTGGTGGAGGTCGGATTCGAACCACGAACCTTCCGGTCAGTAAATTCGCGCTCTAACCACTTGGGCCATCTCGCCCCATTCGCTAAGGAAGTGAACGGGGGCACAAGAAAGAGATGAAAATTGCCTTGTGGAATATGCATATCGAATTAAGTGGATGAAGACAAGTAGTACAGACAAAAGCACAAGGAAAGTTTGCAAGGGTCATCCGAATTACGCTGTGAAAGAATGGTAGTCATTTACAATGAAGCTATCTGTGTTGATCGGAATGAAGGCCGGAGGCCATTTGTGATTTAGAAGGGGTCGAAAGAAAGAAAAACCCAGAAACGCCTCATGATGAACAAATCAACCTCAGCGTCTTGAGCAGTCGGAGTGATACGAAAAAGCCCACCATTTCACGTTGCTAATTGATTTGCGAAGTAACTCCTGCTGCTCCTATCCAGAGGAGGGCACTTTGAGGTGACCGAAACGTCGAGCAATAAAGTTACACTGCGTCGAACAGTACTGCTCGTGAACAAATCAGCTGGCCAGGTTATTGAACAGGCGGACTAGTGGAACTGTACAACTGGAAAATGGGTTCAAGTGGATCTTCACCAATAAACCGCTTCTGGTTAAGTGCAAGGTGAGGAAATGGGTGGGAGCAAAGGTGGAATACCTAATCCTAGAACATCCTATCTGACAGTAACAAAATGGTAGTGTTAGAGAAACAGGAAAGATTCTAACATCTTATCCCATTACACTGCATTTAGATCCTAAAATATTCATATGGGACAAAAAGCTACAAACTATCAAGATATGCTAGCAAGGAGCCAAAACAGTAGAAGCAATGAAGGCGAATTGCTGGGTTAATAAAAAAATGAGATACGAAGCATGAAGAGCGAACCAAAGGTGATTAAATATGGATTTCTTCCCGGGGAAAACTGAGGGCAGTAGAACCGTTTGAGCCTTGTCTGAAATCATCAACAACTCGAAAACTAAGAATGAACAATCTTCTAGAGAAAGGTAAACAAAGGAATGTAAATACGGATGGCCGATCAGCGGGGCCATCATATAGGATTAGATAGAGCGCAATAAGGTAAACATGCACTTGGCCTTAAAAAAACGGCCCATCTCATATGATTGGGTGTTGCTTGCCTCTTTAGATGATGACTTCTCATAAGGAGGCATAAACGATCTGCGAGAAGTCTTCTTTCCCGCGCAGATCACACCTATCCGGAAGGTTACGGCCTCACACTATTCCAAGAGACTCGTGACGGTCGAAGATTTGAAGGAATAAAACAACTCTACATTGCTTTTCGGCTGTTCAGAATGGACGGACTTAACTTCGATCGAAAAAGTCTGTAGAATTGATACCAGAGCATGGAGAACAAGCGGTCGTAAACGAACTCACCGAGCATAGCAATCAGGAGAGACGGTTCGCGCGAACGAATTTGTTGCAGAAAAGTGAGCACGTCATCCATAACAATCCACTTGTCCAAATGGTCCAATAGTTTTCCGATGCACATCAAACAACTAAGACGTGTCTAGTGTAGAAAGCAGAACGATCAGCAGATAGAAGCTGTGAAACTGGGGATATTTTCACTGGGTAAGAGTATGAAGACCGACGAGTACGGCGTGGGTAGAGTAGAAGAAATAGCTTGCTTGGTACCGCGTTACGCAGCTATCCACAATAGGCAAACGCCCTCCGGTTGAAAGGGTCATTGTCGGTGTGGTTGTGTGAAAAACACTTTTTTTTACCCATGTCTAATAGCCTTTGTGATTGGCTGGCCATATTCAGACAATCTGTTATGACTTTTCAGAAGTGTTGAAGCTTCACTCGGAACTCTGATAAGGAATATACCAAAAACGGCCACGTCAAAGTAGTGCTTAGTGAAGACATACCGGTACTACTTGTCCATATAAAACTCTTTCATACTAACCTATGGTGCGCACAGCCATAAAATTGTTTGATTACATTCCAATGAGTACTTGAATCACACTGTTGGCGAAGTACACTTATTTGCAAACCAATTTGGTTGAGCCGGCGACACCCGGAACCCAACTGAATCTCTCGTTTATGATTTTTTCAGCAACTGAATGTGCTGTACCGGGCCGTCTCATGGGGTAAAGTATTCGAGATAGAGACGCATTATATAGACGTAATACACTACTCATGAGGTTGCTGAAAACAAATCTTCCTTATTGGGGCTCATCGGGTAAGCTCAATGATCAAGTTTCCGTCAACCTTATGTTCTACTTGAACCCAGCTTGCATGAAATTAGCGGAATACATTCATTTGCATGCCGTTTTGATTTTGACGGGAGACTCACCTGGAACCCAGCTGAGTCTCTCGTTTACGATGTTCTTACTTTAGGTTCAAGTAGAACATAAGTTTGACGGAAACTTGAGGATTAAGCCTACTTGATGAGCCCCAAGAAGGACGGAACCGGTGGCGGGCTGTCAAAGCAACCTTATGAGTAATGTATTACTAGTCACAGTGTTCTTTAGGATGCTGGAAAACGGATAACGTGATGCTTGTCCAAACAAACACATGCATTAACGCAACATACAATCGTCCTCAGTAAGTTGTTGCTAATGCATCAGTTAAATTTCCCAAGTTGCGTGTGCATTTTATCCAAGCCGGTATTCTTATCCAGTCTTACCGGGTTGGTGATCCCTATAAAGAGCAACGAACCAATCGGAGTGCTCACAGAGCACAAGTGCGCCCGAAAAAAGTATTTCGAGCCGTTCAGACATTCTGTGCCCGCAACAGAATGAGTTTGTCCATGAACTGATTTCCAGCTAACTGAACCGAATGGGATAGTGGGCCAGCCAGCGTTGACTTACTGACAAACAGTGGAATATGGTCGACAGTTAGGTTACTCGCAGCGAGTCGACTCTTTCACAAACTGTACACCGGTAGTCTTCAATGGGGACGATATTACCCCTTGGGGATCATTTTAAAAACTGAAGGAGAGTGATGGCGCGGAAGGGTGCCGGTGGTGTTCACATGTTCGATAACACTAAAGAAACCAATAGAACTTAGGGCAGTCTTGATAATATGCGTTAGTACCAAATCAATTCAAACATACATAATAAATCTACTGCCCTCTTATCACTCAGACAGTAGCACTGGAAGCTTATCACGGCATTTAAGCTCCACTAACACTGATGCTTCATATCAGTATATCGCTGACGTCTGGTTGTACGGTAGTGGACCGCTAAGCAAATCTGGCCGAAAAAATAGGGCATAAGTGAACAGAGATTCTGACTGTCATTCAACTAGCCGACTGAAGTTTCGGTTGCAAACTCCAACAGCTGATGAAATGAAAACCTGTGGCAAATGAATTTTCTTATTCCGAAACAGTCGAAGGGCTGTAAGTAGACTGATTTCATCGTATCCACGCGCCACAGAATGATTTAGTTCCGACTACTACACCGAGCGGGCAAGGTTTCACACTTCAGATTCGTATTCAAGCTGGGAACATCCGAATCGCTAGGGGCCAACAGTATGATCGTCACGGTCACAGGGACTCTGACTCGAAGAAATCCGTTTTGAGGCGAAACGAGACGTCTCTATGTTGGACAGCAGAAGTTACACGATAAACTACACTAATGAAGAAGTTGGTCAAAATATCCATCAGAGTTTTGGTTGCAATTAAGCGAACCCCCGCAAAAGTCTAATATCACGACATGCAACCAGGATGTTGTCCTCTATCAGGTCAAGCGTTCTGGTCCCGTTTTTGTGGACTGGGCGTTTCGGAGAAAAATCAAGCGGATTAGATGTTCAAGCGATCTGAAAAACTACTCACATGACCCATGTTGATAAATCCGAATACTCACGAAATACCGGGGTTGCGAGGTTGTACGCCACAGACTCTCAGTATGCGCCGGTCACACACCGGTCGAGCACCAGCATCCAAGGCGTCGAACCACATCGAAATTAGATTTCAAGTTGTATCCAAACTGACAGTGAAACAATAGGGTACTCAAGCATGGATTCAAGAGAAACGGCTGAAGTCAGAGGTACTTGCTCCTTCTTTACTGCTGTTGGAATAGACAAGATGCCGTGGTTGCCACAGCCCACTATCCCACATGCTTACCCATATGTCCACTCAACTTCGAGGGAGTCGAAGATCTCACGCAAGACCAGCTACCTTGATATTTGTTTTAACCTCGATGCATATGCCGCATCCACGACCCACCCGCCTGATCACACACAAAAGTGGCGGGAGAAATGGGCAACAGTCAAGTTGAATATGTTGCATACGCTAAAGCGAGGCTAGACTGTCTGGCTGGTGAATTTCCAGCCCAGAGTGAGAGAGTGAAAAGCACGACCGATTTGGACGGAGACTGCGTGCGTGAGTGAGAGACACGGTGTGCATCACGTGATCAAAACAACAGGGTTGGTAATGGCGCACATCAGACATGGTTATCCGCTGATGGCTGGTATGGAGCAGTCGGCAGATGTCAACATAAGTGAATATACGATTAAACTGTTCACGCGAGTGTGCTTCATGGACTACACGGTACCGCACACGTATGTGTACGTCTTTTGGTCAACGCACTGGCTGGGTGTTCCAACCACGGTGAAGTGCTCCGGTTTTTTAGAGGCAGCCGAGTTGTGCGTACCAATTGACTTCCGGAACTTAGACGTCTATTTCAAATTATATGGTATCTACAAGGGGCACCTTTTTACCAAAGCCCCGCTAGTAAGCCACACCGAATTTTGTGAGACAGTCAGATGACGGAGATATATCACTCATCAAACAAGGCACACTAGGCTTTCTTCTATCGCTCTCTCACCCCACTAGCAATTATCAACCTGGGCCCAGTGATTCACTCTTTGGAACACGCATCAACACGTCTTGAAAGTTTACTATAAAAGCTTGGAAATTCTACCTACGCTCAAATGCACAACTGTATCCTCACCCTCATACCTCAACTGTCTTGGTCCTAACGTTGATAAGGTTTGTGTTGACATTATGAATGAACTTGATAAGCGATCTACAACTGAGTTACAATGCTATGAGTAAACTAGTTTTTATTCCTTCAGTTGTGATCGAACCAAGTAGACCATTAAACCTGGATGCAATCCCCACTCAATTCAAATAAAGACTAATCCAGAGAGGACGTTTTACGGCCAACCAGACAGTGCAACCGATAGAGGAATCTGACGACACATCTTTGACTTCGTCTTCCGTCTCTGGGCAAGCGTGTGGCGCCATCGGACCCAGAAAATGAAAACAAAATCGTCCAGCCGTGATAACCTTTCGGTGCCTAGCTGCCATGCCACCCGAAGGAAGCACGAAAGCTGCGATATTGACAGGTTGCCCAAGCCTAGGAAGGATAAGTCGAGATACAGAGGTCAGGTTCGAACCCCGGACCTTCCGGTCAGTAAACTCGCGCTCTAACCACTGAGTCATCACAACCAGAGAATGGTTACAAAAGAAGATATGAAATTTCAGTTGGCGGGTAGCAACAATTCTTTTTAGTGTCAGCGCATTCACCGCCTGCTTTCAGACAAGTTGTGGTAGTGGCTTGGAAAAATATTAGGTTGTGACGAAACGTGCCAAGACAGGTTATGAGACTTAGATGCGTTTTTACTTGGTGAGCAGAATAAACAAGCAGACCCTATTAAAGTTCTCAGCGTTAGTATTGGTCCGAAGAACATGATCCGCATCAGCGTGTTTGTCTTTTGCACTCCACTGGTCTCAGAGGACAAAGCCGAATACTGATTTAGGCGAAGAATAGAGGTGACTAATGAACAATGTTCTTTTCGCTGAGGGGCGCCTCTCTTAAATCAGTCAAGGATAGCGGTGAACTCGAGTTCAGATTGTCTACGGTAGGGTTCAACTCCTTAGGTTGGAGTTTTACGTATCCAAATCTAGATTTAAACAGAAAGCCAATGAGATTTTCGGCTCGAACTAAGCTAACTGTAGAATAGAGTAGCAGAGGCCAGCTTCGTCGTTAACCAACCTATTTGGCGAAATTTAGTGTAAGCTGTCTATAAATATCAGGAGTTAGGAGAATTCGGACTAGCTCAATTTAGAATGAAAGACTGGTTCATCTTGCCAAACGGTCAATAATAATGATAATCTAGCTATGACACCCCTTCGATGCAACTTGAAGGTGCGCTGAGGTATTGCTGGGTCGCCCAAGACTAGACAAGAACAGTCGAAGATCCAGGGTTAACTTCGAACCGCGCACTTTCTGGTCGGCAGTTCCGAGTCCTAAACGCAGAGGTAGCTCAAGCTGGGTGGTAATTAGATTGATTGGTTTCCAGACTGAGAGCTAGAGCTGTGAAGCACGTCCGTGTTCGGGTCCTTTCGCTGATGGATGCTTGTGAACGGCAGTAACTCTGAGCCCTATTAAAGCCTAAATAGTTTTCTTCATAAAATCTGCGTACAATGTTATACGTCGTAGAGTGACGGAATGTAACACTGTCATCAAATTGGAATAAGTATGGTGGGAAAACAGGATGACAGCATTGGTATGATAATGAAACCATGATTAACTGAACCCTGTGATAGAAACCTGAGAAGAGACGAGCAAATGGCTTGAGTGAAGATCGAATGGCGAGTGGGTCAGACAAGTCGTCCACACGAGAAGATAACATCATAGATCCTTAAAGACGACACTAACAACCTTTTCATCTTCCCCATTTCTCAAAACTTTGCACACGGGTCTCTGCCCGGAGAAGAAAATAGCAGATTAATTGTCCGTCCCCAAAGGCGAAACGAAGGCGACTTAATAAGCCGAACGTTCGCGCAGTTCTTTGCTCGGACTGTTAACGAAATTGGAAAGAAGCTGGCAAATGCTTGTACAGATGTAGAATTAGAGGAAACAACAGACTACAAAGGAGTACTTCGCGTCTTCCCCATGACATGCTAAAGACTTTACAAGGATTGATTCATCCCACTTTGACTGTTCTCGATACACCCGCTTTTCACTGGAACTACTGAACAGAATGTCAATGGCAATAATATTTCATTCAAAGCCTAACCAGATGCCTTTACCGAAGTTGTAGCTTGTGAAGGAACACATGATCAGGTGGCGCCATATGAGCGCTCATCAAGGAAGGTGACAGAATTCCGATTATAAGTTTAACTGACCTACTATATGAACGGGGAACGAGCGACCCAGAGAAAGGAGCACATCGACGAGGATGTACGTTTTGAAAAGTGTGCACAACCCTGCTGTAAGAACCGCTGTTTTGACAGCTCGATGCTTAAAGTGCTCTCTGGCGATACCTGTTCTGGTTGACCCAATAAAAAATTCTCGAGAATTATTTTAGATATTTTGGTATTTGTAGAGTGTCAAATCTTCAGCAATTGCTTGCATGGTTTAGGGGTGATCACAAGTAACTGACTTAACAGTTTCGTTATTGAATTTTCACTAGTGCTGTACACCAACTAATGTCGAATTACTAATGACGGATGCACCAGATCAAAGTAGGTTTTTGATTTGACAAGTGAGTTTTCGGAAAGGTCGATTCTGAGTAGCCCCTGTGGTGTCCACAGAGGATCATCTCGGTAATGATTGCTAATGTGGTGTCTCATTCAAACATGCAGGACTGAGGGAATTCGTATGAAGCTGGAAGCTGATACATAATGATGCACAGCCATCTGAAGACGAGAACCCCGACTGGTGTTCTCGGTGGGCCATAAGACTTTTGGAGGACACACTCAGCTAAGATGGGCGTGGAACTACAACAGGCTACTCATGAGTAAGCAGATAATTAACATCGTCAGGCCGATGCCACGGTAGCAATCAGTAGAATGAACGGATAGATTAGTTGACACAAATGCGAAGATGAAAAGCTGAACGGTTAGTTGGCTAACAAACGACTTACTGAGAGTAGCTCAGTGCGGAAAAATAATTTCTGTATTCTTGGTAGGACGGCGTTTTTCAATGTAGTCAATTCCGTCAGGCTCGCGATGGACGGAATGGACCTTAAACATAGCTCCTGAAGTGAAGGAGTGGAGAAATAACTGAATATCATAAATCAGACACCGCATGTGCGGACAATCACGAATGAAGCGAACAGGCTACACACCTGGACGGTTTTGTTGTCAGTGTCCAAGGAGGAATGGAGCATTGGGAGCACATGTATCCGGAACTCTGCAGCGGGAAATTTCTCTGATAAAACGCGCAAGTTCTGAAGCAACACCAAGAGGATCTGAAAACCGTAACGGAAAATGCCTTTGTGAGCGGAGACGTCAATAGGAAGATAACGAATGGATCGCTCAAGAAAAAAATACAAGTGTAATGGGCAGTCCCATATCACGTATGATGAAATTTTAATAACAAGGACTGTCATGAAACTTCCATACAAACGAACAGAGAAAAAGCCTGTTATGTGATATTTGGATCACAGCCGTAGGGTAATTAGAAAAACAAAGAAATAGATAAAAGAACAAACCGAACTAATTATACAGCGGTGTTCTATGCTCCTGCTACTCTCAGTGAATATGATTGAAATTCAGAAGCGTGAATAGTGGTCATCATGAGCGCCAGCGCCATTGAACTTGATAACGCGCACGGCAGCAAAAACGCTGAGTCTATCGATCGATGGGTGTGTAACGCGTCGTGGGTGTACAGAAGTCTGTTGGGACACCTCCCGTACAAAAAGCTGGTGGCCAGTACTACAAATATTAGCTCTAATGAACTATTTTGAAACCTGACTCGTTGCAGACGGGGCTGCACAAAGATTTTGTCTGTAGAAGGGACTATCGAAGAAAGCCATTCGGATGATCTGCATACAACAAACCAATTGGATACTGCTCACGCCGTTGATTTTTGACAAACCTACTAAGCACAGTTCAGCTATAAATTAAGCGTCGAAGGTAAATCAAAGTAATCGAGTAATTCTTCTGCGGTGCAAACACCATCCCTAGTTGTATGATAGTGCATCACTGTCTTGAAATACCCGCTGCTGGCAGTGTTGGAGTATTGGTAGCCCGGGTGCATTCATTGGTAGTTGATCAGGTGCCTATAGATCTGTTCGCCGAGCTCGAAAGTTGAGCCACAACACAGCAGCGAACTGATGATGTCTCTTCGAATGGTGACAAAACGTCTTCAGGTCAACCGCCAAGCTCGACGAACAGATAAAAAACAATGCCCACTGTACAGGCTCGTGCGAATGGAATGATGTATTTCAGTTCTCCAGACTGTGCATCCAGTTTCTCAGAGGCAGAAGTGTCATAGCCGAGAAGCTCCGCTCTTATTTGTCTTAGAAATGCAAACCAAGAGGACTGATCCGAATAGGACGATCGTTAACATGAGTAAGCGATGAAATCTGAAAAACAGACGATACTATGGAGAGGAAATATCATGATGTTCAAGGTGATAGTTAAGAACACAGCATGAAACAAAACGTGAGAGGAATATCACAGTGAGTTGAAAGCATATAACAAGTATATCGTGAACCAGTTAGACAGAAAAACACTAACCTGTATTGGTTCTTTCATTGCCATAACAGGAATGAGACGAGGAAGCATGTACTGAACGAACTCCTGTTGTGTGACCAGGTCCATGATTTGTAACACGGCTGGTAGAATAAAGGGGACCATGTGTTGATTTGAGAAATCTTCGGATATTTGGGGGAACACGCGAAACAGGCACAGCCGCTTTGACAGGCAAGGCAGGGAAGGTAAACGGAAGCACAATGAGTGAACAGGGAAGGAATACAGTATGTCGGGGAGAACAGTAAGTACAGTAAGGACCAGGAAAGCTTCCCCCCAAGTGAGGGTTGGTATTTTGGTTGGACTATATTTAGAATGTGAGATATGGAGTCCAGTCATATTCGCGTTTAAGATAGTGTATCCATACAGCTATCTGCAATCATGGAGCAGGGTGTGTGAGTGTGGAGATGACTGCTTCTGTGTTCGCTGAGTTGGGCAATTTCGCTGCAACCAGACTGTCCAGCTCAGTGCACACAGCAGCCATACAACAGTCTTCAGAATTGCCAAATGATGTTGTACACACGCGAGGCTACGCGTAACATACAGTTTTCCATGATCTGGCGTTATGAGATCATCGGCTGGCAACACATACTTATTCTGTTCAATAAGATACTAGATAATACCCTTGAAATCGAAATATGACCTTATCCGTCCCCGGTCCGACCACATCATGCCATTCAGACGATAAATTCTCTAGGATGCATTGTATGTATAGAGTACAGAACGCGACTGAGATTGAATCCCTGAACTACAAGGTGAATTGACTTACTGGCTCGAGTTAAGCGGAAAATCAATCGGTGAAGGTGCCTAAATGTTGAGATGCTGGTGTAAGACTCGGGGGCTCCTAATTTTCACGAACTAACTGATCATGCAATCGCCTCCAATGCTTGGCTATATCTCCTAAGCTCTCCTACTTTTTTTACGGTGACCGAAACTGTAACGCCTGTAACCAGCGTGCTCTTGGTACATGGTTTATGGCTGTTAAACTGAACTGAACTGAAGGTTGGGATTCGGATTCGAAGGTGCCATCATGGGAACAGGTCGCGGTGAAACCCTCTAATACACATTTCACGCAGTGGGTGATCGTTCAGCTGTGACACCCTTTCGGTGTCTAGCTGCCATGCCACCAGAAGTTTGCACGAGGGCTGGGATACTGCCAGGTTGCCCAAGCCTAGACAGGGGAAGTCGAGAGGCAGAGGTCGGGTTCGATCACCCAGTGGGTAGACGCAGCAGGATCAATCACCTGGTGCAGATCAACCACTGTTAACCATGAGGCCACGCATCTATTGGTCATCAGCTTCGAATGCAATGTAAACGTGGTTCGCGGCTGTGGTTTCACGGTTTCAGCACTTAGAAGTGGTGGCTGGCCAGTTTCACGTGACCGATTCTCCTACATTCAGCTGATGACCTCTGATCAAGACGAAACACGTAGGCCTAACTGCATAACATCTATATCAAATGACGAAATATAGCGGCGGGAGTTCTCCGAGTCCCGAGTGATGCCACTAGGTTTGATATAAACAAGTTGAGCATTGGCCCAAGTGGATTAGCTTTTAAAAAGGGATAAAAAAGTTGCACATACAGAGAAGAACAGCTGAACGCCATCATTTGTCAAGGAGCGTGCTTACTACTGCGCTCACAATATCCGTACATATCGAATAAATCTGAACAGGAATAATGTCACGCCCATAAAACTTACTTTTGGTAAAGTATGAATCGTAGAGGGCAATGACTTGTAAAACTGCGACCGAGCCAAGTTGTCCAGTTGGTACATATTATCCACACTTCGTAATACAGACATAGCTGCATCCTCAAAGTAGGGTGTCTGGTCCCGAGGTAGGAAAAGCGAAATCAGAAAACCAATTGTTAGAGATATGGGAACCACTCAAACATCGTATGAATTCACAAGATTGAGAGCATCTGCCAGCTGGAAAATCGTTCTATAACATAGTTAAATGTGTTCAATTTGGTTTGCTTCCCATGATTATCGTCTGTCAGCTGCGTGCGCCTTCAAGGGCGATCGGTGGTGGGACAGACAGATCTTGGAGGCCATAGAGGAAGCGATAGGCGTTACTAGAATTTGGGTCAAGTCTATCGGCTACGCTTGAAAAAAAAAGATCCAAGTTTGGTGGTAGTTCTTGTAGAGAACTAGTTTTCGAAATCAAAACAGGGCGAAATGTGGCACAATGCTGTTGCCAACGTGTCGATTACTGAGAAGACTTTTGTCAATTAGGTTTACGGCCAAGTCAACAAACTCTGTAGGGGTCACTCATCGTGAGTAATAATTGATTTAACCGTCGGCCTTAGATGTAAGGTTAGTATACGTGAGAAACAAGCTGCGTGAGACTGTATGTGTACTAACTGCTTTTGTGTGTGCATCGGCTGCGGTTAGCGTGAATCTCCAGACCAGTCTCCACATACGTTGTGTGTTTCAACGGTGTGGTTACCCTCATTTGATCTAGCAGTTAAGGATCAATTGAGCGTGCGGACTGCCTCTAGTGGTCCACTCTATGGTCCTATTCCCTTGCGTTTACATCGAGTGAAGGGCATTCATCTGATTTCCAAGCAATTCAGCATTAGACATAACACATCTTTTGTGGGGATCTATCGATGTAGGTCACAGAGATAAGCGAATCTGGAAGGCTACGCTAACTAGTGGGTTATTATACTGTTGGCGAGCAGGTATGAGTGAGAACCGTCCATTGCTGGAATGTGTTGGCCAGTGCTCACATTGCTGCCTCGCATCCTGGTTTGTGCGCTCAAGCCAATCCGATAACAACGGAAGATTAGTCGCATCAATGCGTATGCCTTGAAGCCCGATTGGAGTAGACATGCATCAGTTTGATGGTTCCCTCCAAGTGTATGCACAGCGATGGCGCAGTCAAGTTGAAAGATTTGTTCGACTAGTACACACATTGCGGTAAGACTTGTTCAGAACATTAGAGCTACGATTCTCTTTGTAGTGAACCCAGTAATTCGGTCGACTAATGCGGAAAAACTATTCTTGTGCACCAGTGAGTCTCATAGTGTGTGTCGTTGCAGTGAATGGGGAAAATACAATTAGCACCATGGTCAGGCATTGAACTGTGGTATCTGAAACACAAAGAACAGCAAAGTCTAGGGTACCCGAAGTCTGGACGGGTCCCGTCCGTTGAGCGGGACGAAAAAATGATATGAAATTAAAAGCAGTTAGATTGAATGGCGTGTGAAGATTCAGTACCCTTGAACTGGGATGCGGGGAAGGGTTTTTAAGACAATCGTGGCCCCAAAGTATCATGTGGAAGATAGATAAAGTTTGAATTATCGAAAAAAGTCATGAGAGAGAGGCGAAACCTGGAATTTTAGTGTGAACAATAAATTGATGGGGAGTTTGGTGTAGCAAGAGAGCAGTCTAACAACTTGCGTCTCAACGATTGATGTTGGAACAAAGAAGACAAATGGAACTTTAGTGGTCATGCATCTGTGCGGTCAGGATACTTCCCGATTGACCAGGCTAAAGTAGAGGGCTGATATGGTGGTCCTATCCGGAGCCTTTGACTGAACAAATCTGACTCATAAAGCAAAGTAGATGAAAAAGTTGACAGTCCTCTGGGACCATGTAGCTGGGTTTCATTCCGTACGCCTTATGGATTGAGGCCAGCCATCCGGGATACCCAGCATACCCATCGGTCAACAGATCCGCCAATGAACCGATGTTTTCCGGAGCCAAGATTGTTTGATTTCGTCGACAAACAATGGCCTGTCGGCTCACTTGGGAAACCACACAAATGCCTTCTTCCATTCGTTTTGTGAAGACGGCATCTTGAGAGAGCATGTGTGGGAGACTTCCTCCGTAAAAGCCTCGCCCCTTTGGGAGGGGGCTGTAACCGCCCAATTTAAATTAGCCCACGATAATCTTGAGCCGGTGACTGATTGGCAAATCGCGCAGCTGTAACCGCCTTTATATGTCTAGACAAGAGCTGGGATACTGCCAGGTTGCACAAGCCCAGACAAAGGAAGTCGAGATGCAGAAGTCGGGTTCGAACCATGGAACTTCTGGTCAGTAAATTCGCACTCTAACTGGTAGTCTGTATTGATCAACCCAATCCACGTCTTTTACTCACTGTATATACTCACTCACGTGTTGTCGCAATTCTGACTATACATTCAATGGATCAGATGAAGTGTGATTGCCACACATATCATCTCCCACTAATCCTGTGTCAATTGCTTTGTATCGTCATTATTGTCCAGATGGTCTGACCACTAACACTGACGCACCACCTTCTCCCTTTTATACAGCAAATAACTTGATGCAACGGGGTTGGATGGTTCGGTGGTTAGGGCGCTAATTTACTGGCCGGAAGGTCCATCGTTTGAATCCGACCAATCCATCTCGACTTCTCCTGTCTAGGCTTGGGGTATCTGGAAGTATCTCAGCCCTTGTGCTTCCTCTGGGTGGCATGGCAGCTAGACACCGAAGGGGTGTTGCAGCTGAACGATTCAACTTCATTCAAATTGATGTAATTGTAAGGTGGTGAGGTACTGGTGCTATTCCAGTCATGATGTGGACAAACATGGAAACGTATAAAAACCTATTTAAGCAGTTCTGTCACCTATATAACTGTTAGGGGTTCAAAAACTTTTCACAAGTGTTCGCACCAAGCAGCGACATGTGACTGACCACTGGTCAGAAAAACCACCGTGCTTCATCACTGAGGTGGCAAGATCAAATGCATGATACTGTCAGCGCACAGAACCGCAGAATGAGGATATGCGTATGGGTATAACGAGCCGTAAATGTTGGCGTCAACTGAGCTTAACTTCGCGTACGATAGTATGTGAGAAAGAAGGCGATGCAATAAGGCGAATACAAGCACCCATCAATTTGTTACTGACTTACCCTGGAAAACTGCAAAGCTGTCGGACGAATGTCGGGATCCTTGGACAATGCCATTCGCACATATTCTCGCAAATTCTCTGGCAAAGTTGCTATTTTTCCCGAATATACCGAGACCAACTAGAAATGAAGATGGAAATACCAATTCACACTTTGTGGATTCTGGTTGGTGTGTACCCCGATGAATCAAAACGGACAAACGGGATATATTCAGTAGAACTCTGTTCCGTCAAAACCTGCGAGTGATATTCAGGGAAGTGGAAAATAGCAAGTGGCCCCGACAAAGGGGATAGTTATTGCCTGGGTTATCCCCTACCCGGTTCAGACATGTTGCAGATCACGGATCGTTACGCGCAACATTAGCGTGGACACATATATCGGTGTGACCATGCTGCGCGTGCAGGCAAAAAGTTATCATGAGTTGTATTTATTCAGCTCAACAAAACAAAAAAACAAGAGAGTTTTTAATGAGTTATTCTGTTGGTGCGGTGGTCTAAGTTCAACCTGTTCATGGATCTAGTTTCCTGTAAAATACGTCATTCGTTTAAAACTTATGGCTTCTAACGTCACAGTTCATCCATTTTTTATGCGAAGCAATGCCTAATTCCTCGTTGTGTTTTTAAACCTTTAAGTCCTTCATCATGAATTGCTCCTGACTGATTAAGGACTGTGAGATCAACTATTCTGACCCAGATGACCGAAATCTGCCGTAAAACTACGCAAGCGAACCCCGGTCACCGGAGAAGGTGCCTTTGTATGCAGGTCGACTGACATATGGTGCGATTCGAGCACCTGTACGTTGAATGAAGCTTAAAAGCCAACTAAATTAGGGAAAACCTAGGAAATGTTGGCAGTGAAATGACGATCAGGTAAGCCTCTAAATTAGGCCTCGCGTGGAAATCACAGTTTGTTCAAAGTATAATTTCGAAATTCAGCACTAAACAGCATGCTTCAGGTATGTTAGTTCTGGCTGCTACAGCCTTGCTCGTCGAGCATAATGATGATGAAGAGAGGACGACTTATTGAAGGGGGTTTACTGGCGTTGGATTGCTATGGTTTTCTAATGAACTCTGGATTCGCATGTTGATCGGGGTTCTGTTGATCTATTGGACAATGAGATTGCAAGCGCTTCGTCACTAATCGAGGACCCAACCTGGGTATGCGGTGCATAGTTCCTGGGCGAAGGGAAAAAAGTCAACCGATCATCGAGAACTGAGCTACCAACAGTTCAACAGTGTGAGGTCTGAATTTGGAAAGCTACAGGCAATTGTTTATACGGAGGTGTCACTGGCTCCATGGTCAAGTCATTATTGTTAGTGACGGTAATCACGGATGCGCCTTATTCGCAGACCTTCAGAAGAAGTGAACGGTGGTTATCAACGCTAGTTTCAACATTAATACTACGTTGCCAAGGCAAACTGTCCGATTTATGGTTGCTTGAAACTCGGAATGTTTTGGAGGCAAAAAAGGCTTTGTGATGTTCATAGGTGGTGAACGCAACCTGGGTGTCACTAGCCAATCTACCACAAGAGTTATTTCCTTCGAAGAAGACCTGACGTAACTCTGCTGAATTGGGACGATGTTCTTGTTAAATCCAACAATGAAAACTTTCATACACCCTCTGAGCTCAGATCACGAGTTTCATTCCTAAGGTATGTTGCGCCCCGCTGCAGCAATGTGTTTTATTTTTCATAGACAAACAATCACGTCACCGGCAGGGCTGTCGGAAGTCTCCTTAAATTGGCCGAGAGCGCTAAGCGATATTGTTTACAGTATGAATGGGATGTAGTTGTTTCTCTTGAACAGACTATCTAAAAGTATCAACTAAAGGTGGGCTCTCTTTAGGGGGAATATTAGTGGAAGCTTCAAGGCACCAAACAGAAGGGACTAGAGATTGTCCCTCCACAGACAGGATGAGGCTATGACTAAAGACCTGGTTTCCTTAGTCAAAAAGTTGAGATTTTACGGTACATGACTGGAGAAAACAGGCTGTCATAGCCTAACTATTCTCAAGTGAGGTTTACTGACTGAATCGTCACGGTTTAGACAGCCAAGTGACCACCGAATGAGTACGTAGTGTTGCGGGTGGTTTGATTGTTCAGAACGCCGATGAGCCTTAGACACTATTTAAGAGCAGAAAGCCAAACGAACAACGCCAACGGTTGAACATTCGTCTAGATGCTAGCTACTGAGGTGCCAGTAGCTAACAAGAGCACAACAAAATGGGTCTGAATAATCAATAGATTTTGTGCTGTCAACTGTGATAAGTGACTCACACTGTGATATGAAAGTGCTTAGCAGGACATACGGTGTGCGAGAGGGTTCGCGAAATACACATTTGCACATCGATTTGTTTTTGACGGAGACAACTGAATTCAGGCTGAATTTCCCCTTTATGCTATTCTTCAAATGAATATGCTGCATAAAAACCACTACATGCCTTAGGCGGTCCGATATTCGAGGTATCACAGTATGCTGCTTAGGCGTAACAGGTTACTCATAAGGTTGCTGAAAAGTCTCCGGGAGCCCACGACCGGTTTCCCCCCTCTTGGGGCTCCTCATTTAGAAACAGATCCTGAGTTTCCGTCAACCTCATATCCCACTTGAAACCAAATTGTACGGAATTCGCGGAATACATTGGGAATGCATCCCAATTTGGTTTTGACGGAAAACTCAACTGAATCCCAGCTGAATCTTTCGTTTAGGGTATTCTTCAACTGTATGTGCTACACAACTAGCGAACGAGAGACTCGTCTGCGATTCAGTTGTTCCCCGCTACAACCAAATTTGCGTGCGAATGAGTGTAGTTCTCGAATTTCACACAATATTGAATTCACGTACTGCGTCTACCCGATAAGCTGCAGAAAGGCGTAACGGATCGCGCGCTATCGAAATTTTCAGCAACTTTATGAATGGTGTCTACCGTTACCATGTGGACTAGTACGAAACTCAAATCGGCGCGGTACACAGGGTTTTTTCGCAAATGCAGCGGACAAAAACAAAGATAACAAGGGATCGAGGAAGCCGATTACGAACTAACTTACATTCTTCACATCTCGTCTGTAGGCAGAATAGTCGTTCTCGGAGGGAATTAACGATTGTCCACGATTGCATAGAGAGTAAATGAGCATTCCCAGACTGAACATGTCACTTGCCGGCGTCACATGACCCTAGAGAATACAAGTGGGAATGAAACAAAGCGGCACAGTTTGTCGTATAGCAACTGGCAGCTTTAAATAGTTTAGCTCATACTTGTTCAGTTGAAAGATAGCATACTGTTAATGGATTGTATCTTGTAATCCCACCAAAACGTTTTTACCGGAGCTTTAGTTAGACAGCTGTGTTAAAGCCAAGATGTTGGAAAAACGGCAGACTTATCACTATAGCTCAATAACGCTGAAAGTAGTTTACTAATTGACGCACCAAACTATATAAGGTCTCAATGAACCACTAGAGGTTTTACTACGTGTCAACAAAATAACGAGCAGTATACACTTTGAGTTCGGCTGATTCACAACTCTCTTTGCCCAACAAGCTTTGAATGGGAGGAAAAATAGCTCGAGTGATGGAGCTCCGTGTATGGGCAGGCCTTGGGCGTTAGATATTGCCGGAAGTAGCCAAAGAAAAGCCAAAACACACAAAGTTACGATGTCCTTATTGTGAATTAATTCCTCTCCTAGATTGCTTTTTAGAACGCTCATTACTATTATCATTTTCATTATTATAATACAATTACGATTATGATAATAATCACAAAGGTTATGATAAAGTACTGGTTATAACCCAAGTTATTCGTGTTTGCTACCTATGAGCGGTCTTCGTCAGACTTGGAATGTTTCATTCCGGATCAACAAAACTTGTGGAGGGGCTGGGTGGACGAGCTTCCTGAATAAACTGCAATGGACGGACGGATCAAAATCGATTGCGAACCGATTTTCAGTGGGATTGGGATTTAAGGGGACTCAATGTATGTATAGACGCTAACACAAAATATGTTAAAATTCCTTGGGCATAATTTTTGATTTGGTCGTATCTCTGAGATTTCCTTAGTTTATTTTCACACTATCTCTCAGCCGCTCAGATTGTGATTGCAAAACTCCCATACCCTCACCATGATAGTGTTTTCGTCTTCCATGTATCCGATTCGCAATTTTTCATGTTCGTCTCTCGTTGTATTCGTCACTATCGAACACATATTCACAGACTCATCATAATGCCAAAAACATTGTGTGGCTATGTGAGTGGATATGTTGGATTCCTTGGGTGGAGACAGTGTGTTTCAAGCACAGCCCACAGGGACTAGGATCAGTCGGTCTGAGCATAGAGTACCAGATTATGTAACACTAAGCAAAAGCAGTGGAGAGAAGACAGTTACGGGCTGTTGTAGACTCGCATCTAGACAAGCACCTGTTGACTGATGAATCCAGGCTCTCCCGCCCTTTTGTCCTAGTTCCGGCGTCACAGAATGCAAGTGACCTCCTTTCAGAAGAAAATTTTGACTAGGAATGGTGATAGTGCGAACTATAGCCGTTCTAGGTATTATTATCTCTCTGATAACCTGAAGGATAACTTTCACGACACTGGGGGTGGCTTATCCAAGGATCGTTGGGAGCATATTGACTGGATAGACCAACAACTACACGGTGGAGTCATAAGTACATCGGATGGACAGCTGTTAAAAGACGTATGTTGACATCAAGTTTAATGAAGAAGCGATATTTTCACACTGAAATAGCATCGCCAACAGGAGTATGGAGCAGTAACTTCATAGGACTATGGACAAAACCAACCACTGACCCACCGCTACGCACAACTAGGCACTGATGATGTCACCTCGATTGGTGATGAAACGTTTGCAATCAAGTTGCCCAGCTCAGCGAACAAGCCAACGACCATAAAACGGATAAATATGGTTCCTCAGCACGTTTGCACTGATAACTCTAGAGGTGCTCAATTGTCTTGACACGTCCGTTCTAACAAATCGCCTATCCTTCGCGAAGCAGTCCTTATTGGCTTGAATATAGCATGAGGGTTTCCGTCAGGTCCCAGTTATTCGAGCCACGCCAGAAGGTGAGTAAAATTGAGTATCTAACTTAGTGTCCCGGAATGTACATGTGCCGCTGTTCCAGTGGACGCAGAAAAACAAATGCTATCGAAAATCCTGTTGTGAATGCGATGGACGGACAGAATCCTTGATGCTAGGAAACAGAGTTATCTTCCGCAGATAGGCCAGACAACACCAGATGACCAGCTGGGCCGGGTTCTATGTCACATAACACCAGACATTGTATAGTGTTATTAACTCACTTCCCATTCTAATGTGATGTAATCGAGCTGTTACTAACTGCAACTATAATAAACTGAAGCACATGTCGGTTCTATTGATCACCCAATATAGACTACTAATTTGTGCCAAAGTTATCTGGAAGCCATATTATCCCTACATTGATTTATGTGAATGAGTGGACTTCAGTCAAAACTATGATTGATCCGCATCTGCTCATATAACTTTACATATCTTAATAATATCCTTCCTACCCCAAAGTAAGTGTTATGACTGGGTAAACGCACAAACTGATTGGAACCCAAATATTTGAAATCCAGTTCAAAGAACGCTCAAACGTTATACCTCCAAATGGTTAACTGTAGGCAGAACCCACGCCATGACCGCCACAAAGAGAATGTTTCAGTATCAGTCGCGCAGTCAAATCCGAACTGACCTGCAAGACGGCCTCTGGACTACTGGCCACTAAGGTGGGTTGACATGCAGGCATAATGGAGGATTGCCACATTGGCACAGATGCTGAGGGTTCCGTTTGACCATCCGACGACCGATGATCAACAACTTTGGAAAACTCGAAACCAGCAAGTTTCCATAGGCCGTATTTATTGATGACCACTGCTTCAGAAACAAGGTTCAAATGTACCCGACGACAGTCGGAATGCAGGAACGTCAGTGCTTCGGTGAGCTATTTGGGAAAAAATAGACGGAAATTCAGGTTAGAACAGCATTGGATGTGCTGGTGACCGATTCCGAAGGGCAGCTTTCCTCTCTGAACAGGGCGTTTCAGTTCGAATAGAAAGTTGCGTGTAAGTCCAGACGAGTTACTGCTTGGGTATGGATTAGCATCAGTGATACGGGAGCAAACAGAAGCCGAACAAAACAGGCTCCGTAAGATTTCCTGCTAATATCATTCCAACGGTAAACTGATATCCAAGATAGTGAGTGGATGATACAGTGAGACTGAACAAAACATGGGACAACCACCTAAGTATGAAAAGATGAGGATTGAGTGTAAAGTGGTATTTTGTCATATGGCGCCCAGGTTCGCGCAAAGCTTGGGTTTCTGTGATCTGCTCTCGGTAATTTAATGACCAGATGCCCATCCACAGTTTTCGTGGGGGGAAACTGCAATCCATTTGATTGTAATGTCAACAAGTCTCCCACTTTATGAAAACGGTTATCGTTCTAAAACTGCCAGAAATTAGCTGTTCGAGACATAGATATCCTCTATAATGATCAAGTAAGCTCCTAAACTCAAAACACAAAGTGAGTTTCTTGTGAGCGGATGAAGAAATCTAACCGATAGTTATGAGAATACGGTTGATTTGTCACTTCCTTTGAGAGGGACCTATACATTGAAACTTGATTCGGTAAACCTGTAAAACCTGTGCGGAAGCAGGTACAAGAGTACAATGGGAAGGGAACCATCGGACAATGAGGCCTCCCAGACCATTTTGTGGGTTCGACGTAAGCCAACAGACTGAGTTAAGCAGTTTACGCCAAGTAATTACGGATAAGGCAAAGAGTGAGCTCATAGTATCTAGGATTTTGTTCCTCCAAAGATAAAACCCCCATACTACGTACGAGGCTGAGGTTTCAACACGCGAGTTACAGCCAGGGTGGATCATTCTAATGAAGTTGCTGTCTAATTTAGGATCAGCGTGTTATGGTTCGTGAGGAATTTAAAACGGCGTCAAACCAGATGACAAAAAACGCCTAAAAACTAAGAAAAACCGTTATTATAAATCACAGGAAGCGTAACAAACATAGCAATAGGAGGCAGAAAGTGAAGGCAGAGGAAATGCGTCGATTTTCACCACCCTTAGAGATTTAACAGACTATGGAAGCAAATAACTGGGCACCTATTATTCTTTGTATTTGGAGTGTTTTAAGTGAAAAATTTACCTTTTCGAAAAGTCTGGATTCAAAGTTGAACACAATATTCTCACAAACTGGCTTTATTTTTATAATCTTTCATCTTTCATAGATAATCTGAGGTGAGAGCCTCAGCTTCATAGCGAGGTTGATTTCTATTGGCCTCCTAATAGCAACACATCAAACAGAATGACGCCCCTCTTTACAGGAGACGCAGCCACAATAGGAAAAAGAGAATGCTTAGGCAGACGGTGTTGTATTCAGACAGAAACGCAATAAGGGGACATTATAGGATTATCCGTAATAAACCCCAAAATGACAGAATGACCGTAGCTGGAAGAAAAAGCTGAATGGAGAGGGTGAAGGCACGTCCTCAACAAGAACGTGTTTGCTGATCCTGGTAAGTCCAGACTTACTCTGTCGTCTCTCGCCAGCCCGACAACTGATGTTGTTGGAGTCATACTAGTTCCGTAACATTTACGTTAGAACCCTATTCGCATCAGAGTGGCATATTGTAATCGTGTTTGAGCCATCACTATTGGACGTAAACGGACCCTCCACTAACACAAATCTATGGAGCCTGTGAGATCCTGAATAGTTTTGAGTATGCTACGGCTCTCAAGGGCGAGGGTGAAGATTGGAAGCAAGAGTTCAAGAAGCGATATTCATCAAGTCCACTTATCTAGCAGCGTGTAAGTGACAAAAGCCAACAATTCTTCGCTGAACAGTACGCGCCCATCCCGCAGAAGCATTTTGCACTTTTTACCTCATGGAGATCTGGGCTGATTACGGAGATTGTCAATGGTATTGGAAACATTTGAACCTGTAACCTATACATTAAGTTGTGATATGTTTTACCCTGGGTTGTTAAAAACCTTCATATTTACATCAAGAAAAAAGGAACAGAAACTGATCTTGAAAAACTCATGTGAAAAGGCAGTTATACCGTGTATCACTCCGTTTAAGCCTTCTCTAAGCTTACCGAACTCAGTCGCCACCGTTTTGTCAAGCCTGACAAGAACGGCTGGACACTTTGCTAGCCTGAAAGTAGTAGGTGGGTTGCAAGAATCACAGCTTCACTGATGTAACACAAATGAGTGCAAACGGTTATTTCATGAGAGATTGGTGAAAAAGGGGATGGAGCCTAGGTCTCCTGAGAGTACGACTGTCATTTGGGTTAGTGTCGCGAAGGGGATATCTAGCGCTCTGATGTCTGTCATTTGATCAATACACAACGACTTGTAACTATTTGGATGAGTAGGCAAAACTGTGCTTGAAATTGGCGCACAGCGCTGCGGATCGAACCATTGTGTGAGTGCCAGTAAAATGATTCTGGAATAAAATCGGACAAAAAAGTACTAAGTGAAAAAATTTTAAAAAAAAACAGTCCGGCACTTTTCCTGTGCCTAGCTGCCATGCCATTCGAAGGAGGTACGAGAGCTGAGATACCGCCGGGTTGCCCAAACTTAGACAGGTACAGCTGAGATGCAGAGATTGTGTTCGAATCACGGACATTCTAGTCAGTGAATTCGCGCCTCAACCACTTAGCCGCGCTACAGTACAGGATTCATTCGCAGTAAGCACCAAACTTCTTGATGCTATTGGCACACAGTAATAACAGGCGGACAAGAACACCGGAATGTTAACAAGGACGTTACAGCGGCTTCAACTTTTGGCACCTATTCAAGGTGGTCTGCAAGGAATGAGTTGCCTTCTCTGAGCTTATTGACGGGAAAGAAACCGTACAACTGCAGCACCCTTTCGATGTCTAACTGCCATGCCACCCGGAAAACGCAAAAGGGCTGAGATACTGACAGGTACCCCAAATCTAGACAGGGGAAGTCGAGAGAGGTTCGAACCGCGGACCTTCCCGTCAGTAAGTTCGCGCTCAAACTGACAGCAGTGAAGCAACCGACCAGGCCGCAGTCAATAAGAGGCTCCGCCTGGAGTGTTTATACAACAGGTAACATTATAAAAGTCTTCGGAATTGTCTAAACTACACTACACCATACGCTGATTTCAGTAAAGTTACCCATGGGCTTGACAGAGAAGCCGAACAGCCAGACGCCTTGCTTTCAATGCAAACTGAACGGTTGTACAGTGCTCAACAATGATGTTGCCATTAGTGACGATCATGCCATTTCAACACCAGACATATTTACCAAGAATCTCAAAAGGTTTGGGTATTGTTTATATTATTTCCATGAATCAGTAGCTGTAAGGTGAAGACACCGGGCAATCTGGAAAGCGGCTAGGACAAACTTCGATGCGATGTCAATTCTTACAGGCGGAAATGACAACAGAGGATGGGAAGTGATTGCTTGACTCGAAAAAATACGAATATAGACTTGTAATCAGTACAAAAACACTCCATGTGATTCATAAATTTGATAGCCACTATCAAACTTGAAGCGCTTTATGCGTACCAGTTTACAAATAAAGCCACAAAATATACTAACTATATATATATATATATATATATATCAGAGAACACATACATTAGTAAAAGTATAAAAAGACTACGGCCTGGAGTGTTTATACAACAGGTAACATTATAAAAGTCTTCGGAATTGTCTAAACTACACTACACCATACGCTGATTTCAGTAAAGTTACCCATGGGCTTGACAGAGAAGCCGAACAGCCAGACGCCTTGCTTTCAATGCAAACTGAACGGTTGTACAGTGCTCAACAATGATGTTGCCATTAGTGACGATCATGCCATTTCAACACCAGACATATTTACCAAGAATCTCAAAAGGCTTGGGTATTGTTTATATTATTTCCATGAATCAGTAGCTGTAAGGTGAAGACACCGGGCAATCTGGAAAGCGGCTAGGACAAACTTCGATGCGATGTCAATTCTTACAGGCGGAAATGACAACAGAGGATGGGAAGTGATTGCTTGACTCGAAAAAATACGAATATAGACTTGTAATCAGTACAAAAACACTCCATGTGATTCATAAATTTGATAGCCACTATCAAACTTGAAGCGCTTTATGCGTACCAGTTTACAAATAAAGCCACAAAATATACTAACTATATATATATATATCATACAACACATACATGAAAATGAGTATAAAAGCAGTACGGTGAAGACCTATTACCTGTAACAGACCGTATTTGATTTCGACATCAGTTAAACTGAATCCATCCCGAGTATCTGACTTCTTCGGATTCGAAGTCGACTCCGAAATGACAGACTTAAGAGAGGAGAAAAGTGGCTCGCTTGCAAAAGCGAGACTCTCCCTCGATTCCTCCAAAGGTTGAAGAACTGACAAAACTTTTGGATGTTTAATTCTAGTCAGAGTGGCCACTCCGTATTTCAAAATTTCAATCATGGATTCTTTTTGAGATTTCGGATAGTTGTCAATTGATTTCTTGTCGAAGGCCCATACAGTGGCTTCCTGATGGAACGATAATAATTAGAGAATGGAGTGACACTACCTGTTGTGTAGAGCGTTTCTTCGCTGCAAACAGCTTCCATAACATCCCTGGTCCGGCTGAGCCAATCTGCTTACCCAAATCATATTCGCGCGTTAACGGATTTCCCGGTAACACGTTTGACACTTTTGTTTTTATTTTGTGTATCACCGAATCCATGTGGTAACCACAAACTGCAATACAAGAAAGACTGCTGACATGATTTCTAGGATTTAAACAAGTGCAATCAAATAACCGAGGTCACTGGGCTTTCTAAAAATCACTCCTCACTGTGGCATCCTTTCAAAGTGTACTCTGTAGGAGGTATCAGATGAGCTCATTATGTTAATTCTAACACATCACTTCTTTAAACTGGACATGATAGTAGTAAACTATTGGTACCGGATTTTTTAGCCACTAGATAAAAAGGAATGCCGAACAGTTACGTAGTCAAAGTGCTGAACCTAAGACAGGATGCGTGACTGGACCACATTATTTGTCAGTAACTATCCAATAGCGTATCGCATTTCATGACCATTAACCCGACTAAGACACCCATCTGGGGAACCACACCAGAATCACGTTTAATAATTTGCGTCACTTGTGGCGTCAAATAGGCATATCACTGGATCTCAAGGACCGAGTGTACCAGGCTGCAATAAGGGCTGTCATTGTATGCCCGCGAGACGTGGCTTCTGTGGGCAGATGATGCGAGGCGTCTTCAGCGACGTCCCAGAAGCGCTGGTGATTTTGGATGGCTTCAACGGATCGACAACGGTGATTAGAAAACAGGTGTTTGGTTGTGCGGCAGGTACTTCAGTCGCGGAAATCTTTTTCCAGCACCATCAACCACGATGGTTCGGCCATGTTCTACGCATGTCCAAACATCATCTACCGAGATAAAGCGTTCAGCTGTAGCCCCCTCCCGGTGCCTAGCTGCCATGCCACCCTAAGGGAGCACGAGGGCTGGGATACTACCAGGTTGCCCAAGCCTAGACAGGGGAAGTCGAGTGGCGGAGGTCGGATTCGAACCACGGACTTTCATGTTAGTAAATCCGCGCTCTAATCACTTCGGCCACCTACCGAGACGAGTGTAGTACTCCGTGCTTCCTTCAGAATGGCGCAAACAGCGAGGTAGACAGCGTATGACTTAGCAGATGAAGGTGAAAGAGATTACGAAGAGTTTCGGTGCTGTTGGTGCTGTGCGCCTTCGTGGTCCCCGTGACCTCGCGCGCGCCTGACTGGAAACATTGCGAGAAATGGTGGCTGATCGATGTCAGTGGCGTTCATGACATCAGTTTTTTTCCAGATTGTCTAATTAGGCGCTCGAAGATGTAGGCATCTCAAAATACTTGATATAGACTAGCACTAAGTCCCTTCCCTTCCTCCATCACTCTTCTTTTCTTTTCACCCTAAGGCTTGAGATACGATTAGATGAACTTTGTGGTTGCGTGACGGTAAGGCATCAGTGTCAACACGGATGTTGCTGTCTCTGAAGATGATGATGATGATGAGGAGGAGGAGGATGTGCACAAACGGTCAATGGGTAATGTTGAAAGTTGCAACCGACCGGTTCGGTATATACCCAGAAAATTAGGCTGCAAGCAGCCAGGTAGACAACTTCACGATCACAATGGCCTGCTATCACCATCTCATAAGTAAACACATCCCGCAAATAAACCTTACCTACTACTTCATTTTTGGCGGCGTTAATCGTTGATCTATAGTGTGGTGCATCAAGTTCCCCTAGACGTGATGGGAAATGATCGTAACATCGGAAACCGTACAGAGCTGCAACCCAGTTGTGCATCCGTTTGCTCTGCTTTTCACTTGTTTCCAGCGGGCCTCGACCGAGGCATGCACTGCGAGTTGCGGAGTTGCCATCATCATCATCATCATCAGCTGTACTTGCAGTGGCTGTAGCTGCCTCAGTTTCGTCCATCAGGCATGTGGGGATGTGGGATAGGTAGCTGCGCATTGAAGGCGGGAGCTGACGAATTGGTGCGTAAATACAGGGCTGTCAGTAGACTTTTTAGCGGGGGAGTTGGAAAGGAGGCTATGCATTGAATGATGATGAAGGATACACGATTGTCATTGACAGAGCGACTGGGCCATGTCTGACAATGCCTCAAACCATTGATGTGGTCCGTCTCAGGGTCCTCATCCAAGGAGACGGCAATGACCAGCGCAGCTGAGTTTGCTTATATTGGCTGCGGGAGTTGGCGTGCAGCGCCCTAAGGAGGGGCAATAATTTATGGCGGACACCTTTGCTCCGCAGACATTACCATAGTGCCTGACGGTCCACAGAGTCAAAGACAGCTTTCAGATCAAGGAACGCAATCACTGATGGTTGCTGTAAGCAGTGTTACTAGTCCAGAATCTGCCGGAGGGTGAAAATATGATCGATGCATCCCATTGCAGAACGGAACTGAGCTTAGTTTTCGCGGATCTACACCTCCCTGTGTTCAGTCAAAGGGTAAGACCAGAGAGCACCTGCAATGCAACAACTACCAGGCTGATGCCATGATGGTTTTTACACAGCGTCCGTGTACCCTTTTTGGAGATGGGAATAACTGCCGACATGCCCCATTCTGCATACACCTTCACTTCGTTCCACATAGCACCGATAAGTTTTATCGGATGGGTCACAGAGATTCCCCACCTTCTTTGAAGAGAGCTGTTTAGGCTTGGGCAACCTGGCAGCGGAAGGGTGTTACAGCTGACTGGTGGGGGTTGAAGAGGGTTGGATACAGGCCATCCGGTCATGGTGCTTTCTCACGTTTCAGTGTCGGTATTTCGTACCTTATTTCTTCTTCCGACGAGCGATTAAGGTTTACATTCTATTTGCCCGTTGCAGGAGGCCAGCTGAACTGTTGTTCGTAGTGTTCGGCTCATTTTTCCAGTCGACGCTTTTGCGAGTTGATTGATGAGCCGCCTTTTTCACTCAATGTTTCATAGACCACAGCTGTTCTAGGACCAGTTGATCGTAGCAGTTGGTGTAGGGCACAGCTGTTTCCGGTAGCAAATACACCCATCTCCCGAGCTTTCGGTGTTCACCAGAGCTCTCGGCCTTTCCTCAGGCTCCTCAATAGTTGGCGTTTGAAAGATTTGCGGACGCCGTCGTATCCGTAGCCTGCTGGTATGGATTTCCTGGCAACCTCGAAGACATCCAGTGGTCTTGAGATCAATTCGGAGAGGCCACATAGACAGCATTGAACGCTGCTAACATAGCTCTTTTCACATTTTGCCACGATTCATCTAATTGCTCACTACCCGCACAGTATTGATCTACTGTGGAGTTGTTGGGTTAGCGCAGATCAATACTTTCAAGCAACCGTAGTTTTTCGAAGATGGTGGTACACCCATCGAGCTTTCGGTGTTCACCAGAGCTCTCGGCCTTTCCTCAGGCTCCTCAATAGTTGGCGTTTGAAAGATTTGCGGACGCCGTCGTATCCGTAGCCTGCTGGTATGGATTTCCTGGCAACCTCGAAGACATCCAGTGGTCTTGAGATCAATTCGGAGAGGCCACATAGACAGCATTGAACGCTGCTAACATAGCTCTTTTCACATTTTGCCACGATTCATCTAATTGCTCACTACCCGCACAGTATTGATCTACTGTGGAGTTGTTGGGTTAGCGCAGATCAATACTTTCAAGCAACCGTAGTTTTTCGAAGATGGTGGATTGTCATGCTTCTTGCTGACTCGCGAGGGGAAACCAGCTGCCAGGCGTGCATGCACCACGGTGTGATCGAAGCTAACTTGTGTGCTCTAGACGGAACGAAAGACTTGAATTGTAGCTCTCCAACGATGGTTGACGGTCACGTGATCCAACCGGGCCCACGGTTGATTTGCAGTTGGTGGACGATGCGAACGTTTATATTAAGTTCCTACTGGACCGAAACAGTTGAGGATCAGCACAAAACTGGAGTCGCTTTCTGTTGACTGTGCGACCGGCAGCAATGCCGAATCGATTGCTTAAATGTGACTCCCAGGGGCTCAGGATCAGTGCGTTCAGAAGTCAGTGCTTCTTGCTTGAAAAATGAGCCAGGGTAATTCTCGAAAGTACCCTTCTCAAAGTCAGAACTACAGTCCGTTTGGGTATAGGCCGACACTACAAACAGGCACCGATTTTTATGCCGACAGGCGTTGAGCTTGATTGAGCCGGATAACCGGACGGCGCAAAGGTGACTGTTCACTGGGATCCAATCTAGCAAAGCGCGTTCAGCTCTGGGGCTGATTGCAACTCCCAAGCCATATATTCCACGAGTCATGGTTTCTAGATCACCGAGCACACTGAGTAAGAAATGTGAAGGATCGGAGTTCGTCCTTGGAATTTTGAGATGCACAACTACACTTGGTTCTTGTATGCGTGTTTCGGAGACACGGCATACATAAATTTTAAGGGAGTGCAAGGTCTCAGTGAGTATTGCCTGTTTGCCAATTTAGAGTGCGTTAAAAGCTGTCATGTAGAAAGGACTTCGCGGATTTCGGAAGAGGTTATTTTGTTTATTGGTAATAAGCAGCGAAGAGGATAGGGCTCTTCAGTCAGATAACTGATAGTCAAATGACCCAGCAACGTTTGCTTGTGTGGTGGGGAGGGGTTGGGGAGAGACACCAGTGGACACAGAACTGTGTGGGTATATGATGCTTCCTGGTTGTCCAGGCCGAGGAAGGGGGTTGGTTGAGGCACCTCAACTGAAGCCTTTCACTCGAATGCGGGAGGATGTAGGGTTTTGTTCGGGGACCCGTAGCCTCTGACTCAAAGGCCTGACGCACGGAGCAGTGAACAGTAGGTTTTTTTGGGACCCTCCCCGAAGTTGACGACTCAATGGTCTGACCTGGTCGGCTGTAAGGGGTTGACTTAACCAGGGGGTGTGGGGAGTAGGACATTTATGTCTCACTCCTGATGTGGCTACGCCCAGCAGGTGCCATCTGAGCGGAACCGGGCCATGAGTCTAAAGGTATTTCGACTGTATTGGATAATGCCCCGGTGGTCATCGTCAACCGTTGAGCGATTGGAGTGTGCGGTTTTTATGGCCGACATTTTCTGACCCGTTCTTCTTCGGGGGAAGCCAGCAACGCTGCTTCCGTGAATATGGGAATGCTGGTTGCCTGGGGAAACACACAGAAAAGTACGACTTTACTCCTAGACCACTTCGTAGCAGGATCACTCGTGG